ATTCAGTCGTCTGTAGCCATGAAAACGCTAGAATAACAATGACATTGAAAATAGATTATCATGACGAGAAAATCAAATGCAACATTCTGAGCAAATTATTATTCTTACTGGTTCAGATTATTATTATATTATTGTCGCCTTATATTATTAGTAAAAGTATTTCAAGTGCTGCTACTTGTAAGCATCCATTTGCAAATACTTTTTGCTCTGCTTTACCTGTGACAGATAATGGAATATTGAACAACGAAGTACAAATTACATAATAAACAAGTTACATTCGAACCAACAGAAAAAAAGGACAAATACTCGAAACAAGACTTCGTTCGAAGAAAAAAAGAAGAGGTTAACTTGAAACAAAATATCGTATTATGCATATAATATCAACATTCAACTTATACTGACTAGTTTCCAGTTCGTGGAACCAAATAAATATCAAATTTGAGTTCAAGCTTTTCTCGGGTAACTCATGATATTGCAAGTGCTTCAATCATTTGGCCAACTAAGGGCCGGTCCGGTAATCATTTTCAATCTCATTTAATGTCATTTAATTCAATATCTCATTAAAAATTTTTATCTTGAAACGATATCATTGGTTTGATTGAGGAAAAATGTTACCTTTGTCATGCTCATATAGTTCAAAGTGTCCGGTGAACATCTCTTTATAATTTTTAATTGAGATTGAAATGATTACCGGACCGGCCCTTAATAAGATGAACATTTTCGCTTCAAAATTGAAGGCTAACAAGTTCTTCGCTAAACTAATAATGTAAATGAAATTGAACGCAACATCAATTGCAACTGAAGATTTAAGGAACTATCGAGTTTCTTTTCAACCGATTGCCTGAGGATGTTAAAATGAATTGTCTTTTGGAAAATTATTCAAGCTGTTTTGTACTTTTTATATTCAATGCTCTCAGAAATTCGGAAGCATAAAGAAATTTGTTTGAAAATATTAATAAATGTTTGCAAAGTTATTTCAATTGAACAACTAATTAAATTTAATAGCCAATTTTTCTCATGGAATATTGTAATTTATAAATTAAAAAACTTAAATTTACAGAATTTCGAATCAAAAAGATGAACATTCAAACATGTTTGAAACATTTGCAAAGGTACTTTCGTTGGAACAATTTTCTATCTGAAAGTCTGTGCAGTTTTAATTCACCCAAATGAGATTGAATTGTTTTGAGCATTGATTACATTGAGTCCATCTTCTAGAAGATCTTTCAAAAGGTTTGGAAGAAAATTGAAGCCAAAATTAATCATTTTACCTCAGCCGATCACTTTAACTTTGGATCGAAGTTGAAAAAGTTTGAAAAGTTAAACTCTGATCACCAGTTCTGACCAACACTAATAAACTGTGAAAATGTTTCATTAAATCGGATGAAATTGTAAGTCGGAATTAAATGAATTGCATGTAAAATTGGTATTAATTGGAAATAAATCTTTACCGGATTAAAGGAAAATAAGTATTTATATAATTGAATGAGGAATGAAGGAAAAGAAGCAAATTCATTTATTGACTGGAACAGATAAATTGTTCAACTTATTTTCAGTGAAAGTTGGACGAGCAAATAAAACAGAAGCAAAGTAAATAATATGAAGGGAAGCGAAAAGTAATTTGAATCATGTTAATAATCATCCATTATAACCAATCCCAATGACCAAAGGGATTTTCCTGGGTTTCTCATTCAATTGAAATGTCTTGAAACCCGTTGAATGGCTAAACAAAAGTTGTCATTAATTGAACTCTTGAGGTAAATAAATTCCAAATAAGATGAACCAAAAAACGAACCTTTTCTCTTCTCTTTTTCTCTTTAATCAATTATAATTTCAGGTGCAAATAAAGGTGAACAAAAGTATCAAATGAACATGGAAAAAGATTTTAATAATGATTTGTGTAAATGAAAATGTTTACCAATCAACTGTGAATGAATAATGCAAAGGAAAAGGTTGATGAAACTCGAATTAGCAAAGTTGGAAAACAATTGCAAATCATTAGCTAATTGTGATTTATTAATTTCATTTTTTCGTATTTCCATTCTTCTTCTCATTTCAAAGTTAAATTGCTCGGTTTGAGTAAATTGAGTTTTTAAATTACTCTCAACTTTACCATTTAATTTGGAAAAAAGTTCACGATCTTTTTTCTTCTTTACTCATTTTACTCTTTACTGTTTACCTGGTTAATATGATTTGATTGATTAAATTGGTTCAACTTTGTAAAGTTCATTTCCAATTAATTTCACAATTTATTTGAAACAAAGTTTCATCATAATGTATAACATAATAATTTGAGTAGTTTAACAAGATGAAAAGTAATCAGTAAACATCGCTTCTTTTAACCTTGTTTGCTGCTCATTAAATTACTTTAATGTTGAAAATTGTTTTTCATTGATTCAAATTAAATGGTAAACAAAGACGCTTTAAATTGGTTGAAATTAATTTACATTAAACCTTTTGGTTTTTTCAATGGTTTCAAGCAACAAAAGTTTGCTCAGTTAACTGTTAACTTCAAGCTGTTTCCAATTTTACCATTTTTGCTGTTCACTCAACATGAATAAACCCTGAAATCAATAAGATTTGTTGCAACCAAATTCAGTTACTTTGTATTATTAGGAATCTTTAATCATTTCAAAAATAATATCTCAAGACTTTCAATCTACTGAAAAACTCTTTATTCAAATAAAGAGATCACAATAAAGGACACTTTACTGAATACATTTACTGTTCGAAGAAAATTTTAAAAAAGTTATTCTTATTAACCAACTTATTCTCATCACTCCATTGGCTTGTTGAACTTAGGTAGAAACTTCGATCGAAGTGTCATTTCTGTTGATTAAACGCGTTGTGACTTCAAGAGAAGGTTGCAGTTCGAAAGATCGTCTGCGGCTTGAATTTGTTCTGAAATACAGTTCGATGCTCAAAGCTACGAAGATAAAAGACTTTTAACTGACTTGCAACTTGCGATAAACTCAACAATATTGTTGTAAGGATCGAAAGAAAAGTCCAGGTTAACTTGTTTATTCAGTGTTAAGTGAAGATAACTCGAGATTTCAGTTTTTTTTGCAGAATTCGTTAAAATCTTTTCTTGGTGAAATCTCGACTATTGAATATTTACTTTCTGTTTCATAATTAAATTTTGAATAAGAAAAATATTCTGTTGAATTGAATTTCTGGGAGGAAAAATTTCTACGATTTCATTTAGAAATGTACAAATCAATATAATGTTTACCTAACATTGAATGTCAATTTACACAACACTTTGCAATTCAATTAACCCTTTATCAAGCAAAGATCATTTTGTTAAAAACAAAATGCATTTCGAGAAAACATAAAATGTTGTCAAAAAAGACTAAACTTGCAAAAATAATTTCCTACTTAATACCTTAATCACAATTGAGAGTGAAAATTGACTTTTTTCAAGTTTATTCAAGTTTATTGGAGTTGATGAAACTCTTCATGGATACTCAGTTGACAAGATAACCAGTTAATCTCAAGACTGAGCCAGCTGAAGGTCAATGAAACCTTTTTCTTCGACGAAAAAATAATTCAATGTTAAAACTATTCTAACATTATTTTTGTATGAAAATAATGAATGCATTATAAAGTATAATTACAAAATGAACTGAAATGCTGATTGAAAATTTATCATCTAATAATGATATTTATTTCGTCAATTTTTTCGCCATTTTATATTTTTCGATTTTCTAACGAGTCAACAAGAAATATTTACATTTTACTCTAATTTATCAGAGAAGGTTGTGAACAATGAATCCTGAAGAGATGATGATGTGAGAGAAAAGTTCATCTGTGATTCCATTCATTTTGATTAATGTAATGTTGATCTCTTTTTTGCTCTCATTTTTCAAATTTCATTGCTCATTTGAATAAATTGATTTTCAAATTTTGACATTTTTGCACTTTATTTCGTTGAACGTCAAATAAGATTTGAGCTTATTGAAACTGACAAAGGGAGTGAAGTAGGTGTGATATTAAATTATAAAAGACATATTTACACTTGATAACTTTGAGTATTTCTCTGTTTATTGAATACATTTAGTATAATGTGATATTATTATTTAATATGAATATCATCATGAGAAGAACTTTTTTTTCTCAGATAAAAAAAGTGCGATGAAGATCAATTGAAACATCTTGAAATCTCGTCGATTCTGCCAACTTTTCAAAAGATGAATAATAGATGGTAAACTTTGGTAAAAAAAGTACAACAAAAACTTCTCTTGAAGCTTATTAGTTGAAAATAAATGTTTTTTTGCTTCTTATTCTGTTGATCATGAATTTTTCAAGTTTGTTGACAACTTTCTGTAAATTCAAGCCCAATATGAATCTTGAAATTTATTTGCTTTAAGAGCTTTAAAAACTTTTCTTGCATTTCCAATTCGAAAAGGATTGAAATTGAAATTGACAGAGAAAATTCTGTACGAAGTCGCCATCTATCAACAGAGAATTATACTTGTCAGTCTAGTCAAGTTTCTAGTCGAGATCAGTTGATTATTATTAGTCCATTGACCCTTGTACAGTTGAGTTGACCTGAAATTTTTAAGTTGCCTCCTAATCTTGTTACAACAGCCGATAAGGATTGACTTGTATTAGTTTTAAATAAGTTTTGCATAAAAATCAAAATGTTTTACGAAGAAATTGGCCAAGTTTAGAAATCGCGATTTTTTGAGATTGACATTTTTCAAGAGATAAAGACTTTGGGCTTGGCTTCAATAATTTAGTTGATGAATTCAGTCCACAAAATGAATCTCTATCACATGTTTTTGGCGATCAGTCGGCAGTCGATGAGGAATCACTTAGACTGGCGAGAGAGTCTAGATTTCTTTGACTAACTTTGGTATCTATTAATAATAATTTGAATGTTTATTAGGATCGATTCAGTACAAGTCATTGAATGTAAACATAACTGACATAACAATTTTATCATATTATACGATTGAGAGTTTATTAATATTTTGATGTTTTTTGCTTTTCTTTAGGTGGTGATGAAGTTGCCGATGTTAATGGGTACGAGATAAAAAGTGACCGCATTTGTGTTCCTGTTGTAGTTGTTGTTAACAAAACTTATATGAAAATAACAGTTGCTCTGTCCGTTTTAACAATTGCAGCTCTTATCGCGTGTACATTCATTGTGATTAAAATAAAGCGAAATAAACGTCAAGCTCAAACAGAGACAGCAGTAGCAAGCTCCATGAATGGTTCCCAATATGACCAAGGTCAGCGTGGTCAACATGTACGCGATCTTGGTAATCCACCGCCCATGGGATCAGCTGAGGCTGAATTTCAAAACGATTTTATCCAAGTTTTTCCAATGCATCACTTGGAGCCTTGTCCAGAGAAAAACATGACCGCATTGATTATGCAGTGAACCTGTTGCTGGGCACACAGTGAATGCGACTAATCAAGTTAAATCATTACAATTAATCATCACAACAATCAATTGCAAAGAAAAGCCCAGAATAAATTTTGACAATTCAAACTCTTTTGCACTTTCATTGACAACAGTTTCAAGTGTAAAATGAAATCAAGTCACCAAGCTCAAATTAAACTTGTGATGAGCCAACTTCAATCTTTTCATTTCAATCTTGACCACTTAATAGTGCTAGAATCGAGAATAAAAAACACAAAAACGCTCCAAAACGATATTTGAACAAAAGTGTCGAACCCTTAATTTGTCCGTTATTGTAACGAAATTTGTCATTTTGCGCTTATTAGTCAACAAATTGAACTTTCAAAGTTTTTAAATTGTGATGATAATGTCGTGAAGAAACTCAACTATAAATAAACTTGGAGTTTCCTGGTTTCGAGGTTTAATCGGAATTGGAATCAAATTTAAATGCACACTTTCCAGATACTAATCAAGTTTCACTTCACCAGCAAATAATGTTATACAATGTTACTGGAATCGTTTGTTACCTTTGTGAAAATGTTTAACAAGAAGCTTTTCATTTTCGTTCAACATTTTCTCTCTTCATTCCGAAATTGTTTCACATTCAAATGTGTGCTTATCATCCATTCATTTTCATTCATCAGCTGAACAAAAGTTTTAAATGCAGTTGTAAAACCAAGTAAAAGATGAAAATTAGTTTCCCTGTTAATCGAGTTAATTTATTGCCAATCATTTGTAAAATTACTAGACACTTGACTGCATCTTTTGTTTTCTTTGTTATTGAAACTTTTTGTCTTTGGTTTCATTCAAAAGTCTCAAATGTAAAATTAAATTTCAAATTCAAATCTAATGTTCAAATGGTTAACAAAATTTGTAAAACATGTGGACAAGTATGTTCATTAGGCTCAACCGTAAGAGTTCAACTTTACAGGACCAATTAAAAGATGAAAGTCAACCCGAAAAAGTCACATTTTTTTCTTTCTTTTGCTTACATGGACGGAACCGTCCAGGCTGCTATTCTAGCCGTTTGTCAACTCACTGTCGCCACTTGCGGATACACTATTCTAGCATCTTGAATATTGTCGTCTGAGGATCTTCGCTCCATCGAAGTGATCAAAGCCAGTGATATCCAGCATGACCTTTCTAATACAATTTAGCTTTTCAATATTTTAAATATTATGTATTAGGAATCAATTTTTGAGTATATAATTTTGATTATTTTCTGCGAAACTTTGCTGTTTTTAACATTTGTTTATATTATTGGTTCATCCCTTTGTCTTGTATTTGGTTCATTACTTCATTTATAAATAATTGCGCTTATCTTCTTAATCATTGTACCAAAAAACTAACTGAAAAGGCTAAAGTACATAAAAATCTATGAAAACATTGTGTAACTTGAAAGTTTTATTCATCGTGTTGGAACTTTAAACTTAATAACGAACATTATTAAAATATTTTAATAGTGTTTTGATTTAACAATTTAGCGTAAGATTTACGTTTTTCTCCGTTGATGGAGAAAACACCAGAAAGACAAACTGAACGTTTGTATCCGTAAACGCCTAAACGCCTGTTTCCATTCATGATTAACGAACGTTTATTTCTACACATCTCATTTCGAACCATGAGCTTCCGCATATTAAAGAACGATAGTTTCGAACGCTCGGGATGATTGATAAATCAAGTCTGTTGTAGGCTCATGCGAATCAATAGAATAACTATCATCTGGCTTCATCTATTGTTTTCAAACTCAAGATTAAAAAAATCTTTTCATTCAAGGTGCAGTACCGGAGGGTAGTTCACAAGCCAGTAAACGAAAATGTGAATCACCGAAAGAGGCGCCGAATGCTTATGAGAAAATTGAATAAAACGTAATCAATCAGTGCTTATGTTGTGTCCGTTTCGATTGACACTTTACCTCAGGTTGTTCTCGTGACGCGTGGCTTGATTTGTAACTATGACTACTTGTAGAGCGCAAAATTCTATTTTTTAGCGTACTTTGAATTTCAAGTTTGCACTTTTTTAAAATTTCTTTTTTGATAAAATGACAGAATTTTGTTTCTTAACTTAATACATTTTTAAAAAGATAAACTCCTATTGAATACTTTAGAATACATCATTCAGTCGCATTCTGGTGTCCATTATTTTGTGTGCTCGCAAGAAATTGCAGCGTGTAGAATAATTTCGCGAGATAAATGTTACGAGGTAACAAACAAGAAGAGGGTTTTAACCAAAATAGATGTTTATTAAATGTTTGTTAATTGTATTTATACAATGAAACGAAGGGGGAGACGAATATGGAAAAAGGGGTTGAAGATGAGGAAATGAGGGGGATTTAAATAATCTCATAACATATTCCCCTTCTTATTGTGAACGTCTCGTCATATAACTGGTCCAAGACCTTGAATAGCGATGTTGAGGGTCTGACCCAAGGTTACCGTCGTATCAGTTGGAAAGGTAACTAAATAAGTGGGTCTATGCTTGATGTCGGCCTATCTTAATGTCATACAATTTGTAACCTCACGATGTTTAATGTGTAAAATTTGGCCAACTTGCTGTCCGAAATCTCGCTCTATCCGAGTCCTCAATGCTCGTCCAGTTACATCCAAATGAACTTGACTATAAGTTTTCTTCCGAGTACCAAATTGAAGTGTTAAATCAGTATCAGTACCATACTGATGGAGGACATGTACTGAATTAGAGACACCAAAATGCAGCAGCAATGGACGGAAAAGCCAAAACATCTCCGAGAAAACGCACTGCCTGCAAATGACGAAAGAGTGAGCAACATTTTCTTTTGATTTATCAGAAGCGCTTTCCCTGTTTACATCCAAACCTTTACCACTGGACGATCAGATTTTATGATGTTGTCCACCTTGTGAGTAGGACCATTAATCCCGGGGCTATGAAATAAATTATCTAATAAGGTTGTACGGAACTCTGCAAGTTCAGCTAAGCAGCAGCTTGTTTGGCTTAAGCCTAAGCTCAAATAGCTGAGGGAGAAAAATTTTAAGCGGAATCTATGGGACATGTAAGTTATCGGTAAGTTAACTTATTTTAAATTGGTAATCCAATCAATATATTCATCTAATCCAATTTAAAAATAAAATATAAATGAAGAAGCACTGTTGATATGCATATCATGAGGAGAAGCAATACAAAGATTGGAGGTCAAGGGAAAATAGCTGAAATCGACGAAACTATGCTGTTCAGGACGAAATATAACCGTGGCCGAATTTTGTCATCTGAAAAAGAGAAAGTTTGGGTATTCGGAGGAATAGAACGAGAATCTAAGCTTTGTTTTGCTGAAATTGTCAGTCATACGGACGAAAATACCCTCACTAATGTATTGAAAAAGTATGTTGAGCCTGGAACGACTACCTATATAGATGGATGGAGTGCTTATCAGAATTTGAAAAATCATGGTTACGTTCATGGCCTGAAATCAAACTCCAATGTATCTCTATTTGGTTTGAGTGTTTCTGGTCTGTCTCGGAACAGGTCTCTTAGGGTAGCACATAACTCTTAGAGGGTATCGAAGCTAATTTCAGTTGGCTCAAGATCGCCCACGAAATTAAAACGATTCATTGTATAGAAATAACTGAATACACAAAATTAAAATATACTATTATATTTGAATAGGATGACACATGCACAATTGACAGTGTATTTGAATAATGACAATCTAAAATGTTTGTTAGAGTTTGTCAAAATTAGTTCAGTAGTTATGCCGAAACGATCGCCATCAATAAACATTTCCAAAAAAATTGATTTAATGAATAAAACTCGCTCTCTACCGTTATAGTCATTGCCAAATATATCAGGGTTGAAATTTTTATGTTTAACATTTTCAACGCCAACCTAATTATATTCCGTGAAAGCTATGAAAACATCACAGATATAGTGTGAGGGAATACCGATTATCGAAGACAGCTATTTAGATAAAATTGGAGGCATTAATGAATCAACTAAGAAAAAAATGAGCTTACCTGGTCAATAACTTGTTGTCCTTTATATTCACGACTTCAATCCGACCAATCTATTACTATTAATATATCTTGATATTCCTCATCTGCAACCTTAGCCTTTAAGGTAAAATTTCAAAGCATAACCCAACCTTTATTACCTGATAAAACAGTTTACAATGTAACAGATTCGAAGTGAAAACAAGTCAAATGTAATTTCACAAAAAGAAACAACTTTAAAGTTAGTAAATAATTCTGAAAATTGTGGTTAAAAGACTGAATTAATTAAAAATTAAAATAAGTTAGAATCAACCAAAAAAAGTCGATTAAGGTTTCGTTGGTTTTACAATATCATTATAAGCGCTACATTAACATTTCAAAGTACACTACAGTAAAGATAGACTTCACACAGCAATTCAACTGACAGTTAACCAGCTAATTGTCTAATCGTTAGGTTCTGAAATCGCGACTTATAGTAGCTCTACTTTAGAATTACAAAGTTACATAAAAAATGCAATAAAACCAATGAAAGTGCATGAGCAAAATTGTAACATACATTTGGCACAAAACAAGTGAGTTTTGATTACATTAAATGTTCAATTGAATGTTAAGTTTTGAATGAAATAGCTAACAACAAGTGTAACAAACGATGTCAACAATAATTGTAAATAGTTTTTCTGGTAAACTTGTTGCTCGTGCACACAAAAGGCAAGCAATGAACAAAAGATACAATTCAATGTTAAGATAAAATTAAAGTTGAGGAAAAAATAACAACCTTTAAATAGTCTCATGTTTAGAGTTGATTCATGAGTACAAGTTTAAATGTGAAACTTTATTTTCACTATTCCAGGGTAATACCATGAGCCAGGTTTAACCACAGGAAATGAAATGCTGAAATCTTTTCAAGATCATTCATTAATCTTTTTTGATGAGAGTAAAAGTTGATAAAATGATAACTGAATTGGTAGCTTTTTAATGAATGATTATTGTTGATCAGTTGGTTGACACATTTTACTTTCTCTCGTTATAAACAATTGATTGAGATATAAAATGAAATTCACAGGAAATCTGGCCTATTACATGTTCAATCATTTTCTAAGCCAAATTAGGTACCAAACAGGACAAATCATGTGAATTCATCTAACAATCGCCCAACTCTAAACAATTCAAATTGATCAAAACTCGATAGACCTCTAATCTTGTGGGTGCATTTTTTGGTTCAATTGATAATTTGTTTAGATAGCAATAATTGGAGGAAATATCAAACAAATTCAAGTGAATTACAATTGATTCTGATCCAATGTTTCAGTTTGCATATTTTCATCGACGATTGCAAAAGTCTGAGAAATTCAAAAAGGATGTTAACCTGAAAATTCCAATCGAAATTCAATTGTATATTCGAATTTAGAACAATCACAAAAAAATTTCCTAAAGATCTCAACATTATCTCAAGAGAATCTCGAAATCACTCTTTAATGTCGAATCAAAAAATCCTGATTTGTTGAAATTGAATCTCGAATTTTTCCTTAAAGAAGTCGAAATTTCGAAAAAAAATGTTTTCGATTCTTTTACTTTCGCGATCTTTTTAAAACTTATTTCCCTTGAACTATAAGTTTCCGATGTTGAACTTTTTACGATAAAAATCGTGTTCAGTCTCGGAACTAACTTGATCGAGATTCTAACGAATGAAAATGAATCTTGAAAAGACGATAAATAAAGACAGAAAAACATTAGTCTTAGAATTTTTGGAGTCGACAAAAAATACACTTCAAGTTCGAGGAGCCAATAGAAGTAATGAATGTTCTTTCAGAATTTACAGTTTCAACTGATGAAAGATTAAGGTGACTGTAAACTATGCTCTTGAGAAGTGCAAGATTTAGAGGGAAAGAGTAGAGAAAAGAAGCAAAGATGATGATGAAAAGAGGAGGAGGAGGAGGATGAGAATGAGTTGAGGGGAAAAGGTTTGGATGGAAAATAAGGAGTAACCAGAAAAAATAAGACAGAGAGAAGAGAAAGAGAGAGAGAGAAAAAATGATCTTAATGATGATTCTCTGGAAATAAAAGACAAAAAGAAAACATTGAAGACTTCACTTGAAACAATAAATGCAACTTATATCAGATTCAGTGTTATCCTCAAGTCAAGCTTTTATCGCAAAAGTTTTTTTTGTCACATTTTCCTTTGTAGGTTCTCACTTGGTTTGATAATAAACTCAACAACTCTCCCAGTTTACTCACTCATCTTCCGTTGGAAGCTGACTTTTTATCGAGATACTCACTCATCACTTCCCTAGTTGTGCCAATATTGTCAACAGACAAAGGTTTTAATTTTTCAGTGAAACAGTCAAAGTAAAAAAAGTCAATCAATTTGTTGCTTCTCCATAAAACAACATCAATAACAATAAGATAACTTTTTGTTTAGTTTCATCAACAGCAAACATTTGGTGATTACCAATCACATTGTGGACTCTATTTTTACCCAACTTTTAATGTTACCTTTTCACAAGTCGAGATACAACTTATCTGGTTAAATCCTGTTTCTCATTCAATCATTCAGATAATCATTTAGTCAACTGTCAACATGGAAAATCAAGTTAAACATGAATTTACCGAAGAAAATGATGTTCCATTGAATTTGTGTAAACACAAGGATGGTTCACGGAAAAGGTAAGAATATTGATTAACCTAAAATTACCACTTTTTCGTATCCAATCGTTTCCCAACAACTTTTGAAAATAAACTTTGAACACTAAATTTTTGCCACTTGACCACATTGGATTTACTTTCGAAAAATTAGACCAAATTAGAAAACTCGAAATAAAATTTTCCAACGTTCAATTCGATCGATTTTACATAGAAAATGATAGCTTTGCAATACTCGAGGAATTTGGACGAAAGTCCGTCTAATGTCAGTAGAAAGGTTGCTTCTTTTGGAATCAAAAATAAAGTAAAATCTGTTTCATTGGGAATGAGATTTGAAATGGAAGAAGATATTTTTCTCAATGTTTCAGATTAGTTTTTGACCCGTTTATTGTGACCTAGAAAGGTGGAAATCGATTTGAAGTCTTGTCAGTCAAACTCAAGTACTTTACTCAACTTTCAATTTCGATTTGATTTGTTTCGTTGAAGTTGTTCAAATTTTATCCCAAAGCTGCTGGGACACGATGTATCTTCAGTTCAATCCTGTTATCCATAAATTGTTTTATGATTCTGTGATTCTGTTCAGTTCAAAGTTTTCTTTATCATCCAGACAATAACAAGGTTACAACTAGCATTAAAGTTAACCAGCAATTACAGTGATTCAATGATAACTCAGATTATGTTGTTATTGACTTATAACAATTAATTAATTTTTCTTCCAGAGAATGGAATTAAGTAAATACGATTAAATGTCGCCAAAGTAAACATTTATCAACCACAAAACTTTTCAACTTTTTCCTCTATTCCATTCGATTTCAAGACAAATGTGACAAAAAAAAGGTTCAATTGAACAGCTCATTAATTCATCGAGATGGCAATGTTATCATTAAGACAATGAATTATCACAATTAGAAAAGTCGTAAAATAATAAAAAAGAAATGAAAAAAGAAAAAAGTTATTCTTTTATTGTCAATAAGCGATAATCGTCAAGAAGCTTGACAACAACAGAAGAGGACAAAAAGTTTGATGATAAAGTTCAGATGAAAGGGGCAAAGACGATGAGAATTGAAGAAACTAAAGAAGAACAAGAAAATTGGAAAGATAAGAGAAGCTGAATCGACTTGAAATTATTGTCAAAGTGAACATGATTAGGTGATCGAGTTGAAAGGGACCGCACAATGGAACTCAAGAATCTCTTTTTTTTGTCAAACGTTTTGACTCTACGATCAAGATGAAGATTGAATGATAGAGCAAGATAAAGCTTATTTACCTTTGCTTGCTATTACAATGCTTTGAATGAATGACAAAAAAAGACTAAATCTTAATGATAATTGAAAGAAAAAATCCTGATCACTGAGAAACGAGATGCCGCGAAACTTCAATTTACCCGCTGATCGATATCTTTCTTTTGTTTTCATTGGTCTTGAAGATGATGTTGATCAAGTCCTCTTATTATAAGAACAAAGATGATCGGATTGAGATAGATTCTTGAGAGACTCACAAAGATAGCTTATCGAGTCGTTCATTTTTCTTACCTCTCTTCATCTTGCCGTCCTATTGTCTTAACAAGTTGAAGGATCTTTCCAATTTTTCATCATTCTTCATCATCTTACTTGTGCTCGGATGTGATGAAAAGAAAGTTGATCACAAAAGGTAAAAAAAAGATGATGAAGTTTATGATGATGCTTCAAGATGTTGTTGTTAAGATGAATCTATGATGATTCGGCAATTAATAAGTTCCATTGATAATAAGAAAACCGTTATTATTGATTATTATAATTAATCTTTTTCTTTTTCTTCTTCTTTTCTCATTCAACTTGAATTGACGAACAAAGAGAAATCCAAAGTCCGATTAAATGATAACGAATAATATAATATTTTGTTATTCAATTGACGCTGTCTTTACGTTTAATCAGCCGCGTCAGTAGCATCTTCAATTGTTAATCTTGTTTCCTTTTGGTTCAAGAAATTCAATTTCAAGCGAAAAGAAAACAAGATTGAAATCAGAAATCGAACAACTTTTTTTCAAAATACTTATCAGTCACAAGATTTGGTGTTGTTTTCATGTTTTCCATCCAAAACTCTCAGCCCTTTCCATAGCGCTTTGATGTAAGTACAAGAAAAATTTTCGGTGAATCAACATGTAACTCATTTCGAGTGGATATTATTTTGTTACATCTTGATTAAATTATGTACAAAAATGTTGATCTTGATGCTTTGAAATGAAATTACTTTGTATATAAGATTAGAAAAGGAAAATGGATCTTGAGAAAAAAGTTTAGATATTTTAGCAATGGCGGAAACGACAAGTTCTGATGGAAATATGATTGAAAATTAACATTAATGTCAGGAAGAAAAGTCAATCTCAAATCAGTCAATGAAAGAAAAGTTCATCGAAAATGCATTCCAAATTTCACATTCTCTGAATGTTCTTAGAACGTCAAAAACATGCAATATTATCAAGTTTTGCTGAGAAATAGTAAACCGAAATTGGACGACTTTTCAAGTCAACATTCTTGTATGGCATTCAGTGTCGATATCTTTAGCAAGACAATTACAAATCACGAAAAATTGGATTATCTTGCTTAAAATGAAACTCAAAATTGCAAAGCTCTGTGAGTCAAAAGACTCTTCAGTCAATAACAGTTAATCTTTCAACTTGAAAAGCGTTGATTGAATGAATCACTTTTGTCAACTTTTCCTAACCTAACCCAACCTAACCTAACCTGTTGCTATTTTGACCTGGAACAGCAAATTTACTCATAGCTCAAATGTATAGATTAAATGTCAACTCATCGAGTTTAACACTTGTTAATCAAGTGAAAGCCCATTTTATCAGGAAACACAACTTTAGTCATCAGAATTAATATGTTCATAATGCAAAAATAACCCGATTTTTATGGCACTTTGAGTCAAATCTTTTCCAAGAAACAAGAGATAATTTTCATTAATCGCACCTAAAATAAGATTAAATTTTTTACACTTTTCAAGCTCGAAACAATATCTCATCACGTTGCCATGAAAATTGTTACAACGATTTTGCAACTTGCCCTTATTTGCCCTTACAATTGTAATCTGATGATTCTTTCAAATTCAAAACCTTCCATTCACATTGACCGTGACTTTTTGAGAAACAAAAATTCATCTTAAACAGTTGCAACTCAAATCTTGGTTTGCACTTTTGAAACGACAATTAACTGTAATTAGCAAAGTTAATATGATCAATTTGATAAAGTTTAATTGATTTTCCAAGGAAACTTGACTGTAACAATTATAATGATGAGGGAAAGGATTCTCTGTGAATAGTTAAATTGTGTTAATAGGATGCAAAAAATAGAAACTAAATTAGCAAATTATTCGTTGGGTAAAATGGCGAGGCAAAAAAAAGAGATGAGAAAAGATTATTTTAAAAGTTGCTTTTTTCGACTAAATTTGCAATACTATTTCGCTCATCAAAAAATCTCATCAGCATCATGATCCTCATCATTAACATTACCCATTGACATGATGCCTCTTCTCTTCGAATGTGAAAAGTTGATTTTTATTGAGAAAATTTTCAGTGTTAATTGCAATGGAAGCAATTCCAATGGTTAACTAAACAAAAGTGTTCAACTAATGATGTTTCATCTTCCGTATCATCGTCATTACTCTTTCAGTGAAACTTGTTTGAAACTTGAAAAGATAAACAAAGTTTTTACTTGGTAAAGATGTAATGCGAAATTGTTTGAGAATGCAAATGATGAGAGAAAAAGAAAAAGTGAAGACAATTAACTCATCTTCCTACTTATATGAGAATTTCTTGTTCTTTTTATCTTCCCATTTCATCTTCATCATTTCCATCATCCTTTCCTCAGCCCATTATTTGAAAAGGAAAACAACAAAAAGATTCTCTGTCAATTTTCAACGATCATCTTTACTCTTCTAACGATCAAAACAAAAAAGCCTCTTGGAATGGATCCAGCAAATTGTTCATCTCTTTTTTATCACTTGTTGGCTTAAATAGATTTTTGGATGAAAAGATGAAATTATTGGTGATTCATGTAAACTCATTTACCAACAACACACACAAAAGTGATTCATTTGTAAACAACATTTCCAAGCCACAGCAATTGATATTGTTGCTTTTGGTATAACAATTGTAATTGATACAAAATGCATCCATTTCCCATTAAAAGGCAACTTCAAATTACAGTTTGAAAGTGAAACTGAACAATCCTTTTTAATCATATTTACAAATGAACAAAATGTAAACATTGAAATATAAATCATTTGAGTTTACAGTTAAAGTGGTTAGCCTTTTGTTTAATGGTTTAGGAAGAAAAGAGGTTTCCAATCAATTGCTATTTATAAAGATTTAGATTGTAATTGACAAACTATTATTGTTAAGCATTTACTTTTTTGGTTTGCAATCATTAAGGTTCAATTTCAAAGTGAATGCTGAGGAGGGAAAACAAAATAAGTTGAGGAAGAGTGAAAATTCTGGTTTCTTTGGAATGATTGTTGACACTTGAAGATATGTTGAAGTAAACTCAAAACTAATGAATTGCTTGTCAATAAGTAGAGTTGCATATTTAAAATTATCCTCAATACTGACATGGAGAGGTTCACTGAGGCCTGAGAACGCCTTTATCTTATTATTGTTCAATGGAACCATTTCTTACTCAGCATCTTTTCAGAAAAAAACTGTTTATCTCCAAATTTTTGAACAAATCTGAACGTCGATTGTTTTTCAATTTGCTTTTTTGTTCATCTTTCACTTTTTGTCATAAACTGAACTTATTTTTATCATTTGATTGTGTTGCACTGAACAAAAATAACTTCAACTGAAGATAATGAGAAATTGACATTTTTTTCTTGTTAATTGCCGGTGGAATAATAAAATTCATTAAACATTGGCACGGTGATCTTCATCTTCCATTAAGAGCCTCATAATGTAAATACAAGTTTGATTAGATTTTGTTGGGTCTCAAGTTTTAGATATAAAAAGATTTCTTAGCTTTATTGGAATCAACAATCAAATGTTTCCCTTTTTACAGTCGCGTAATCATCACCTAATGACTGTCAATTTTTGCTGTTAAAGTAACTCGATCAGTAGGCCGATAAGAATCTTGTCACACTGGCCATCAGATCTTCTAGAGTCTAGAGTTTAGATGATTGATTGACCGTCTTTGCAGTTGTAAATTTAGAGTTTACTTGAAAGTCTTGAGTTGCAGTTTAATCAAAAGTTAATACTTAAAGATGTAAAGATATATTGAATGAGCTTGGATCATCAAAGTTGCTCGCAATCGAGTATCATGACAGGGTAAAAATAAACCAATGATGCTAATGAAACATTGAGTTTTCTGGTAAGATAAAAATGAAATGTTTATCAAGATCAACTTGAATAATGAAAGTTATGGCCTTTATCCAGCCTTTATTAATTTTGATAAATTTCTTGTCACAATAATAATGTAAAATGATTGTCTTTCAAGTCGACTTAATTAACACAAAAGCTTCATTTAAATGTTTTCCAAATGTCTTGGTAAATGCCTTTTATAACTCAACTTGACGAGTTAATAATCTGGTTAATATCGCAATTAAATCTGTTTAATCCTGCTTGATGCAATTTACAGCTTATAAATCTCATCAACATTCAACTTTTCTTTAATTTTTCAATTTTCACCCAAAAATTAGCCAACTTGAACCAGAATTTTTAGCAAAACTCAGCTTTTTCTCATCACATTTCTCATCTTTTAATAAAGACTAATTTTGGTTAACAAAATTGGACACAAATTACATTCATAATGAGCGTAATTTGGTGAAGTTAAATATGATTTTAAAAGCAAAAGAGCAAAGTTTAATTTTAGATTCTAAATTTACTCAAATCAGACTGAAATGATGGAAAAATTGAATAATAATTTCCTTCAACCCTTTTAGCTGGAATAACCTGAAGATTTAGATGTTGATTAAAGCTCAATCAGTGATCACTGATCATTTGTATTTCCACTAATCAACTGATTAAATGTTAATTCGTCAATCTTATTATTAGTTGATCAGGGAATTTAAACTTTTTTTTTGTTCCATGTTTTTGTCTCTGATTGTTGCTCATAATTGATTGTCAGCATATTAGGTTGTGATTAAAAACTCTTGGAAGGTTGATAGTTTATTAAGATGTATTTACTTGAGATTGTTTCTCAACTTAATTGATAACACAAAATTATGATAACTTTGTGCTTTTATTGATTAGTTGATTGATTGGTTTGCAATAATAATCATGCCGATGATTGTCGAGTATTTCAAATTGTTTTTTCTTTGCCTTTTCTTATTCGCATCAATCATCATCATCATTCACTAATATTATCGTTTTTCTTATTTCTTTTTCTCTCTCTTTGATTCTGATTGTGATCAACTGTTTAATAAATCACTTGAAATGAGTGTTTAATGATATTTAGCGACAATCAAGGTGGAAAAATATATAATATTTATATTGACTTGTTTCTAATCAAAAAAAAAAGTCTGTATAATTTTCTGTGTAATTTTCAATCACTTCAATTATGTAAGTACAATCTTGCTAATTCACCAATTTACTGGATAAGATAACATTTAAACATGACAGGATCAACAATTTTACCCATTAATTTGAATGGCACATTGACATTGTTTCAGAATCAATTATCTAATGATGATAATAAAGGGCAACAATGAACAGAATCACAAAAGAACTGAAAATGTTACCCAAAAAAAAACATTATTTTATATCAAACACTAATTCTGGTTAACCCGTTTTTTATTTATACACAGACCCCTGGAAGATGATAGTCACCCTTCATCTATCTTTTGTAGGCCTAAGATTTTGGCTAATATTTCATCTAATCCTGTTACTCCTTTATTTTCACCTCGATCATTAATTAATTCAGTTCGTTCTCATCCTTATCTGTCTTCTGTGTCAAATCATGGTGTAACAATAAACACTAATCAAACAACAACAACAGCCGGTTCATTGTTTCCCTATCGTAAGGCGCATCCAGTGGAAGAGCAACATGTGGTTGATTATATTAAAGGAAAGGTTGATAATGAGGATCATGAGGAGGACGATGGTGATTTGACTGACCAATATGTCGACTATCGATTCACCAATAGCTGTTCACCTGATCAAAATGTTGACCTGATTCGCGATTACCGTCATGCTGACCATTACAGCAAGACTTTATTTACTACCTCTTCTAATAAAGTAAATGATCTACGTCAACAACCTTCACCTTCATCTTCTCCTCTCTGTTCATCTTCGTCTTCCTCATTTTCATCTTCCTCATCGTCTTCCCTATCACCTTCACCGTCCCTCCTGATTGCCGATAATTTGCATAATTTGAAACCTCATCAAACCAATTTCTTAATTCAAAGTATAATCCAACAAAATGGTGATACTCCAGTTGCCTTTCCATTTTATCTTCCATCAAGTCATCATCATCATCACCACCATCAATCACAATCAATATCATCCTCTTGTGAAGGATCAATAAAATTAAGTAAGTTAATCTGAGAAATAAGAGACGATAATGCGATCACATATTGAGCATCAATTTTTCGACTTCTCTCATTTCTAACCTTTTCATTTTTACAAGACTTTGATACAGTTGAGTTGAAAAATAAGTTATAGATTCATTTTACTTAGACACTGAAACAATTCGTTTAATAGCTACAGTTAACAAGATTATGATTAACCGAATGAGAAATGAAGCAATCAGATTTTGGCTTTTAGCCATTTGAAAAACCTCAGAGAAAAATGTATTCAATACAGCTCATCAAAATATAATCAGACCGAAACAAATGCATGACAAGTTACACACAAATTTTAAACATGTATTGTATCTGCTGAATAGTTATTAATATTGATCATAGTTAAAACCAAACAAATCTACAATATTGTTTAAACTTGAAAATTCAACAAAAAGGCAATAGTATGCATGTCTGCTTGATTAATAGTCCATCCGCTTGAATTTTTGCTATCAATAATCATTACAATCATTGCAGATTTGCTAAACATAGTTTTTTAACGAACCAAAGATTTGTCTAATGAATGAGAAGACTCGAAATGGTTCTATTATTGTAACTAATTAACTTTTTTTCTTGTCAATTTACCAATCAAGGTACCAAGGATGGAATTAAAAATTCTCAGAATGAATTACCTCGAGCTCATATCAAAAGACCAATGAATGCCTTTATGGTTTGGGCCAAAGAGGAACGTAAAAAAATCTCCAAATTATATCCAAATATGCATAATTCAGCCATTTCAAAGCTTCTAGGTAAGAATTGGATAAACACATTCAAAGAAAATGAGTTTGGCCCAAAATAATTCAACTTTGTATATACAAACGAACTTTTGGAATCTTGTTTAGACGAGAAATTACCATCAAATGTTTATCAACTGATTTAATACATCAGAAGGTACCATTTCTATGGCCATTTCTTACCCAATAATTGCCGAGTTTGATTGTTTTCAAAGTAAAATTAGCCTTTGATAAACTCATTTTCTTCGACTTTATAAATCTATCTACGAATAACCTGACAAGTCTAGAAATAGCCATTGCATGATAGACTAGATGTCATAATGACTTCAGTTTTAGTTTAAGTTTTACTCGATGTAATTTCTCAGCATTTCATTTAGCAATAGACAGTTTGTGAATCATATATTTTTAATTGTCAACAGGAAACCCAATTGATCTAATCTTGATGAAATAGTTTTCTCATTCTAATTTGCTTTTTTCTTTATCTAATTAGGAGTTCGCTGGAAGTCAATGCCTTCAACTGAGAAGCAACGTTATTTTGATGAGCAATCTCGCCTTAATAAACTTCACATGGAAAAGTATCCAGATTATCGTTACCGTCCTAGGCCTAAACGAACCTGTGTCTTTGAAGGACGTAAAATGAAGATATCAGCTTTGAAACAATTGATCAAACAAAACAACGGAACTGTTGGTTATGTATGAAACCAGGATCAATATTTTATGTTTATCGCATCTCTCTGAACATATCTTTAAATCAAATCACATTGAAAGAGTCAAAGGAATTCCAGTTGTACGGAAAGAAATAGAAACCTTGTGCAAAGTCATTAAATTAATGCTGTTCAAATTTAGCCTTTTGTCCATCCAAATATGAACCATGTTAAGATACCAAATATCATGAAAATGATTGTTACTATTGTCCATAGAAAACTAATCTAATCATGTGCAAAGTCAATTGTTATTTAAAAGAAATATAAATTTTTCTTTGCAAAATGTAATCTAATAATTGCATTCAATATTCAATACGTCTATCAGGGTCCATTGAAAACCTAGAAGCTCGGACATCGTGTGAACAATATTTAACTTGGAAAAAGGTTTAATGGCCAGTGATGATTTATAATAACTAAGAGTTTTTTTATCAAATCAATGGACAGTTAGAGTTTATTGTAATTGTTTGGATATAACTGAAGGTTCAACGGAGTTCAACGATTTTTGTCTGAAAAATGAGTTAAGAATCTTGTTGATACAACCTTTTAGCTTAATTGATTAGCAACTTTCATGGCAACATTTATGATCTTAATAGTTTCAATAATAACTCTTTCGATTCTGGTTCATCAGAGGAGAAAAAGATTTGATAATTTTTACAATTTTCATGTCAAACTAATCTGATTGACTTGCTTGATGTTTGCTGGCTGAACAATCTCAATTTAGATTCTACCTTTTCCAATGTTAATAACAATGTAAGATTTGATAATAATTGAAATTACCAATCAAAACATCTTACCATTTAAACGTCAAAGATGAAAAAAGGTGATTATCATTAAATGTTTCAACAATTTCAATTCAAGTTTTATTAATTTCTTGAAACTTTAGCAAATATTAGATTTACCTTAAAAACCAGAACATAGGTGACGCTGTAATAAGCAAAAACATCTTGTTTATCTTCATCGATTATTATTTGCTTTTTCAGTTATTAACTCACTAAACTTATCTCTTACCAACTTGACTGGTTAACAATTTGAAAATCTTGAAATCGTTAATTCAAACATTTATTCTTGTTGCTCCATCGGTTAAGTTTATCGTTTAATCTTTCTGTTAAATCACTTGAAAAGCAACAATTTTGTTACAATCTTAAAACAACACAATGCCCGGAATTTGTCATCGGTGTGAAAAAACGGTCTATTTCAATGAGGAAAGAATGGCCATTGGTAAATCATTCCATAAAACATGCTTTGTTTGTGGTAAGTAAATTGTTATCTACGCTAATTACTAATTAGTGACTGAGTATTTAATAGTCTATAAGTGTTAACATTTTGCTATAAGTTAAAACCGCTTTTTCAACCGTCATTGTGACTCATTTCCATTTGAAATGACCGTTATTTTGTTGAAATCGTCTGACTGTCTTTTAGCTTAAGCTTTGTTTCCCATTGTTGCCATTTTGGTTTACCTTTTAATATTATCAACAAACTTGTTCGTCATTCTAAGTTGTCTTTTTTTGCTAGTTTTGTTCGATCCCTTTTATCAGTCAATTTATTCTTTTTGCACTCTTCATTATTTTCTTGTTGAGTACAAAAATGGTAAACGGAATGAAATGAACAACAATGGAAGTTATATTTTGACTGAAATCAATCGGAAATGATTACTAACTCTTCAAAAATGTTTGCTCATCGTTTTCTTGCAACAACAATGTTTCTGTTGTGCGATAATTTTTCCCTCCAACTTAAATACTCAAAGTTTATTTGATTTGTAATTTTTTTTCTTCACCTTATTTCTCTTATTGTGATTTCTATTTCCACTGCTTGCCTTCATTACCATCAACTATTTGTCTACATAATTTCATACCTATTATTGTGTTCAAATTGATTAGCTGTATGGTTGTTTATGATTTAGAATGACATTAATTTTGCTTTATCAGTGCTCTTCGATTTGAAATTTTGCTATCCGTTGCTGATGCCAGCCTTGCAAGAATATCAATTGTTTCTACAAAATTATGACTTGCTCTTACATGTTATAACCTTGATTTAGCTGCTTTCGTCAAGCAAAAATTATGACAATTGTGTTTTATTATTTCATTTATCCTTATTATTAACTCATCTCTGATCCCACTCATTGATGTCTGTGTTAATTTTAAAGCTAGCAATTTTCAAATGACATCATCTTGGTTAGATAATGAAACTATGAACAACCAGAAATCGTGTTTTCTTTTTTCTGATAAATGTTTCTCTTGACTCCAAATATGAAATCAGCTTGAAACAATCATCTTCAGGCAACTCCTCAACATATTCAGGGCATATTTGGGTGTGTAACAGATTGTATTTCATTTTTTAAATTTTGTTCATTTTACGTTAAACTTTCACTTTCTCGTGACAACAAAAAGTCTTGATGGTTTGATGATAAACAACAACCCAATGACAATCAAGGACGTTCAAAGAGCCAAAACTTGTTGAAACAACCAAATAAGGTCAAACCTTTGATACTAAAAATTATAAACCTTCCTTTATTGTTGTCTTATAGCCGATTATTCAACATTTTACCTTTAATAGCAGTAATCAGTTAATCTTTCGAGAAAAAAAATTGCAAGCAAAAATTATCATTGTGTGAATTGTAAAAGTGTAATATTATCATCATGTTGGCCATTAACTATTTTATGATCCATTCTAATCACAATTATTCAAATCTCATTTGAAAGGTTTTTAAATGTCAAGGCTAGTCTTGAGAATATCTTTTTCTTCTCATTACCAGGTTGATTGTTTTTCGCCATTGTTTTAATTACGATCAGGTTAAGCTTGAAAATGGCTAGAAGGCAATCATCTGAAAATCATGATGTCAATGTTGATAAAAAATGAAGATTGCTCTGAAAATTTCTATTTCATTTTCTTAACTAATGATTCTTTTCGGTTGATCAAATGTTAGGCATTTTCTCTGATTTCAATCAACATCAAAAAATGAACTCAACTTTTCGCCATTCTCATCTTCCTCCTCATACTTCATCAGTGATGGAAGAAGATGACGACGATGATAATAAGTGAAGTGAGTAAGTGGGAAAAGATGAGTTGAAAAGGAAAGAAAAATGTTAATTGTTGTATCCACAGAAAAAAAGGTGAGAAAAAAAGTAAATCTCATAACTGATTGATTGATGAAATTTTGGTTTTCTACCTTTTCCATTAGTTCTTTACTCACAAGTTAACAGAAAATTCTGACCTTTCTCTTTGATTTGTTCAACTGTGAACAAGTGCTAATAAATTCAGTGTGGCCTTTTACAACTCTCATTGATTCTGGAGAAAGTACATTCAACTCATTTTCATCTCTTTTCTTGCATTTTTCACAATTTCCCGCTCATCTATAAACAAAAATCACTACTTTTTAAAACACATCTTGTGAAGATTTGTGAACTATTGATTGCTCCAAGCTAATTGCTTTTACGCTTTAAACAACTTCAAATATTAGCATACATAATTGTACTTCATCTAATACTTGTGACGTTAACAAATTTTTCATCTTTTCTCTTCTTTTCTCTCAATTTAGCAAACAAAGGTTGTGGTCGACGTCTTGACAGTGGTAACTTGACCGAGCACAATTGTGATGTTTACTGTCGATCTTGTTATGGTAGATTGTTTGGACCCAAAGGATATGGTTTTGGTGTTGGAGCCGGAATCTTGGGAACAGATACTGGATCTAAAACTGTTGTTGAAACAGTGAAAACTGTTGAACCAATCAAGAAACCATCAAACTCGGTCTCTTCTACTCCATCACCTCAACCACCTTCATCCACCGAAGCAAGCTCTGGCTCAACACCAGTTTCCTCTGGAACCAGCAGTCCAACCTCAGACGAAGCAATCTCATTAGAATCAGATACACGAAAGACTCCTTCACCTGTTGATGTAAAAGTAACACCAATCAATGAGTCTTCCAATGGTTTGGCTAAAACAGTTAGCAATAGTTCAATCAACAGCATTGCAAACGGAATTGCTGCTAAACTTAGATTCGGCGGATCTGAAATTTGCCCAAGGTGTAATAAGGCTGTTTACATGGCTGAGAGGATGATGGGTGGAGGATCGGTAAGTTTCATGGTTAAGAGGAGAGAACCTTACTGCAAAAGATTGAAATAGAGACTCACTTGTTTGGTGTATATTTTTGCTAACTGAATATGAGGATAAAGAATGATAGAGTCCGGATCCCGGCGGCTATTAAATTTCAAAAGGTTATAACTACTGTGTAAGGTTTAATCTTCATTATTGGCATCTTCAAATGATGATAACCTGAACAGATGACTAGAAGCATAGTTTTGCCTTTTTTGCCAGATGATAATGATTAGGTTTCTTTTACCTAACCAACGGTCTTCCAACTTTCATCTCAAAAGCTGACAAACAAGCTTTACTTTTCGCAAGAAAAATAAAGTTATCCCAAATTGAGGGGAGATTCAAGTTTGGTACAAATCACTCAGTCGATTATGTTAGTTATATGAAGGTCAATTATTAATTTGCAAACAAAATCAACACCAGGATTACATGGTTTAACAGCGATTTAAAGTCAATTTGTTTACTTTGTTAATCTTTCCATTAATAATTGAAATTTTTAAATTTTCAAATTGAATTCGTGTAAACTTCAAGTACAATAATCAATGTTGACAGGTATTGATTATTTACCATTCATTAGTTATTGTTTACCAGTTTTCAAGTTTTTCGTTGATTATTAATTAATCATGTATTAATTTAGTTTAATCAGGTCAATAGAAGGTCCGTTTCAACGGTAAAGCAAGAAAACCTTTTTTAATGCCAAAAAATATAAGTTGAAAGATTTGATATGAAAGATTGAAAGATTTTCATTTTTTTCTTCATTTTCTGTCTGTCAAAATGGATTGTGTTAAATCATTAAATCAACGAAATCCAATTAATTTCAATTTAAGGCTTCTCTCTTTTCATCCCAATCCAGTCTAGATTAGGCGGAAAGATCAATTTCAATTATCGATGCCACCATTGATCTGACAATTTTGATTCCGCTGTTGACAGGTTACATTGATTGACCCTGTTTACTTGCTCATTTATACAACCAGAACGCCAAGTCTTATCTGAGACAACAATCAACCGATATTATCTAGTCTGACGATAAATATGATTAATCAGATTATAATCTAGCCTTTAAAAGACCATTTGGTTAAATGAGACCATTTTGTCTCATCATATGACCAAATCGCACAACTTGAAACCTATTTCAGTCCATATTCACACTCTTTTGCCCTTTACCTCATTCAGTGTCTTAAAGCACCAAACGATGAAACTAATTTACACTCTTATTACCTCTTTTCCAGTAAATTGTAAATGTATTTACCTTTTAGAATTCATTATTTCTTCTCATTTTTATTTGTATCTTTAGGCTTGGCATAAAACAAGTTGCTTTAATTGCAAGGAGTGTCACAAACGCTTGGAATCAACAACTCTTTGTGAAAAAGATCGAGAAATTTATTGTAAAAGTAAGCTATTTGTTGTAACTTAATATAATCACATATTGCCTAAAAGCGTAATCTCAATTTAAAGGTGAGACCAGAAAAATCAGTTAACCTTTTATCACGCAAATCTGTTCGGCATTACAGGTTTTTACCTTGTAACTTGTAATTAAGATATGTTTAAATGTCATGTAATTTAACCAATATGCATGATAATCGCTTATTCAATTTATTAGTTTAATAATTTTTTTTCCTCTTCTTTCCTTTTATATTTTTTAGATTTCAATATTAATTGAACAAACAAAATTCCCAGTCGATTAGTTTACGTTGAATCAAGAGATGAAATCAAAGTCAATAGATGATTCCTTTCAGTCAATATTTCCGTTTTTTAATTGTTAACCCAATTTTGTTACCCAAGAGTAACAATGTAACTCAATTGAAGCTCAGCAGGAAACTAAATTCAATTTGTTTACATTATCTTTCCTGATAAAATGTTCATACTTGATAACTCATGACAAGTATGCTTAAAGTAGAGCCTTGTTAGTCTTAATTTACAATTAAATGAAGCTGCCAACGTTGATTTAAATCTCTTGAAAACTCTATTTTTAATTTATTAGCCATTTTCATGAACCACTAAAAGGATTCAAAAATTAACTTTAACTAATGAGATTGATGCTAAATACATTGAAGCAATTACACGATATTTTATTGCAAATGAAAATTTTAATGCTATTTCGTCTTCTTTTCCAGATTGTTATCGCAAAAATTGGGGACCCAAAGGCTATGGTTATGGTGTTACTGCACTTCAATCTTGCAAATAAATTACTAACAATTAATCTAAACAATTTTCCTATTTGAATCAGAATGGGTCGATGATTATACTGGACTTTATTGCATGGATTCCAAGACTTTGAATTTATTTTATTTTTATCCTTTACCATTTATTGTTATTAATTGAACGATAATTTGGAATGATTTGATCACAACAATTGCAGTTAAATTGACCTCCATTTAACTAACTGATTGTTTTGCTATTTGTTTGCTAAAACATTTCAACTTGATGTTTGATTGTTATATAAAATGGACTAATCAATTTTTGAAATTCAACATTGTTCTAACAATATTATATTTGAACTTTTTACCCTTTATTTTTACAGACTTTCCTTTTTCACAATTTCATGCATTTCCAATTGAATTTATTATAATTAATAAATTATTAATAAGCTATTAAATTACTCGAAAGTCTTTCCATTTCTTATTTGATTGATTAAACTAGTGCGTAATTGCTTGGATATAAACTGCAAATAAGTTACATCGTATATTGTAATTTATAAATCGTCTTGTTCAACCGATGATTATTTTGGCTGTTAGTCTTAGGCTGGCTGGCTTTGATGGACCGAAGATATTTAAAGCCTGAAAATTGATTACTTATGTTAGAATAGTTTTCTTGAGTTAAAACTGTATTTATTCATCATTAATGCTAATTTAGATATCAACAATTAAAATGAACTGCTAATTATTACACAGAGATACAGAAGAGATAAAAGTTTAAAATTGCTATTTTATTCTATTTTTCGATAAAAAATTAACATTTGATTTCTTGCATAATTATAAGTTCTCAAAGGTTCGAGAATTTTGTCATTATTTACTTCTCTCCAAACCCCTTCATGTTTGATGTTGAGAACGACATGAGTGCCAGATATAGCATCTCCAGGTTCACCACCGTTATGTCGGGGATGTCTTCCAATGTCACTAGATTCGACTTTATATTTAAAAAAGCTTATCGAATAGGCATATTTTTCAAAAGGGGTACCAAAAACATTGAGCAAATCCGGTAACTCCAAATTTAAAGCATTTGGCAAATCATCTGTTACTTGCCCGTCAATTAAAAATACTAATATTGATGGAATGGATAACTTTTTTTTAATTATTGTAAAGTCTGACCCTTTACAATTATCACCTTGAAAAGAAAAAAATATTAGAAAATTGTTATTCTACTGTAGAGGTTCATACTTACAGTTAAAATTATCGAGTAGTAAAAATGATTTTTCGTTTGCCATAATTTCGTTTAAAGAAGAAAAATTTAAATATTTTTCCTTCAAGGGAATGAATGTTTGATGAAGAGCTGCTGTTTTGGTTTCATTACAAGCAGAACATGATAATAAAGTCTTGAAATCGAAATTGAGGGCTTGTTCAAATGGATTTTCATCTCCGAACTGAGTCCACAACGTTCGCATCACATCCTTCCAAAAAGTTGTGGGATTTCCTCCTACATTGGTCAAGATAAATTAAAACAAAGATGTCACATATTACTCAAACAATGATAGCCTAAAGCATTTGTGACATACCTGGTGTAGCGTACTCAATGTTATCTTCTCTTAGTTTTACAAGAAGTTTCATCATGTACTTGTCTATTTCCAAATCAGGCTTTTTTCCTGGCACCTGGCTAGTCCCGGGATAATTTTTTTGTGTAAAGTTCGGGTCGAAACTTGCTTTCCTGTATTCTTCAAATAATCCTTTGATTGTATAGTAAGGTTTAAATGCAGTTTTATCCTTAGATGCAATTTCTAATGCTTTATCCAAACTTGCAACAAAATTTTTATTCCAGAATAATGGCACAAAAACAGGAATGAAGTAAGAATGGTCTCGAAAATTTGGAAGGCCGATGAGATGTTTTGGCTGAGTTGGAGAAAAATGAAACTGTTGAAATCGACTGAACATTTTTTCTTGTAAATTTTATAACTAGCTTACCATATGAATTTTGTCTACTTTGAGTTGTCTCTCCAAAAGATTAAGTAATTTAACAGCGGCTTTATGTTTTGCTTTGCCATACGAAGTTGAAACCGCTCGACTGGAAATGTGCGTTTGTTTCGCTACATCCAAAATTTTAAATTCATATGCACAAAGCTTCAACTTGAGCCACTCTATTTGCTTCTCGCTTTTCTCTTGCGATAGTTCAAATGCTCCACGGCTTTTACCCACAACATTATTTAAAAGATACTGAACAGGCTCTCTATAAGGGCATTCAAAGGTTTCCTCATTCATAGCCAAGTAGCTAGATGCGTCCATTTCGTGAATACTGACCATCTAAATGCAAAGTTGAATGTAGCGATAAAAAAATTGGAGAAAGAATTATTTTAATGATTCTGTCAGATTTACTATGCAACATCTGCAAATCGCTAACAATAATAGCTTACCTCTAAATCAGAAATTGTCATCGGGGTCGTCATTGATTGAGATGTGAATACATCAAATGTCGCTGGTGTTAAACTCATAGTTTGCTTTCAGTTCAATTCCAAAGCGTATCCGATGGTTCCTGAAGTTGAGTTTCTCCGATTGCGTCAGCCAAACAAGTAAAACAAAGATAATTAGATAAATAGAACTATTAACCGCCTAATATTAACCGAAAATTTGAATAGAATTTGGTTAGAAATTAATTTCTTTGCAGAAGTGGTGACATCTATTGCTTATTGAAAAAGCCTTTTTAATGTCCATTGTATATTGAAAATTTATTACAAGATTGCAAGTGATTTTATGTGAACGCCAAGTACAGTTTAATTGACTTCACCAAATTTTTAACGAGGTAGAATCGAAACACAGTGGTTCCAAATATGTTGTCAAGTGCTTCTATCACCAAAATTTTCGTGTTTGTTCTAAGAACGAAGAAAAATTGCTATTTGAATTTTATTTGATTTCCCGGATGGTGGTTGTTATTGTGAAGTAATCTATTCTTGAACGCATCTGACTTCAACTATTTGATTTTTTTTCTGGAACTGTATTTGTCTTTCTTTTGGAGCTGGATTGTTTAAGTGTTGCAATATTTTGATAATTCAATATTTAATCAAAGTTCATCATGTTTCCCTTTCATTTTGGCGAAAATTCCTGTTGAAAAAACAAATTTTATGGCAAAGAGACAAGTTAGAAAAGTGGAAAATGTCATTTAAAAAATGAATTGTTGTTCAACTATACTTGCCCAATTCAATGTCAAACCAATAAGGTTTCTCGAATGGAAATGGCCAATTGTCGAAGCAAAATTGTGCTGGTTTAGTTTCAATTATGCCAAATTTATTTGCATTCAATTCCATCGTTGGATAGGAAAATGATTCACGTTGACTCCAAGGAAGCCAATCTTGATGTGAAATTTTTGGCGGTTTTCTGTATCAAGTAAAAGGTTAATCAATGGATTGGACGATAATCATTCAACAGAAACTCACCCTTCTCTCGCAAATTTTGCCCAAATATCCATCATTACGTAGGATAAAATAACATCATCAGCACTGTATTTATCAGAATTTAAGGGATGACCAAAGACCATAGGTATATCATCACCATGAGTAGCTGGTAGCCAACTACTCTGACTAAATATTGGGAACGGACCAGATGCAGGCCTTTGACTTTGATAATAAGCATAGACATTTGAATTGCCATTGAGGGCCAAACCACGTCCAAAAGCATAAGTTGGACAGGTAAGTATCGTGTCACCAAGAGCTTGACCAAGATTCAATCTAATGGTATCATAACCATGAGGTGATACTTGAGCGAAATATTTGTCCAGATAAAAATTAACCAAAGATTCTCCGAAAAAGTGCTTCAAAATTAATTTAGCGTCAGATAAAGATACATTTAAAGGATTGTTTGGGTTAAAAGTGATTGGATCTTTGAACATAATCATGCAAGCTCCTTCATTGCCAACAGTTCCTAATAAAACATTAACCTCAGGATCAACACCGTGATTGGCAACAATTTGATCAGGATGAGATGGAAGAAATTCATCACCCGAAATTGGCCAAAACATTAAATGTTGAGTGTCTTTGAATTTATCAAAATGATATAAATCCAAACATGATTTATAGTCCTGGTTTTCACAACCAATTTTTGTGGCAAATGTTTTCCCAACATCTTTGAAGATCCATCGGTCGAAATCTGATAGAGCACCGCTCATCAGTATAGCATTTGCAAATAGGCCTTTAGATTGAGGCGAAACTAAGTGAGCAGAAACTGACAGTGAACCAGCTGATTCGCCATAAATTGTTACTTTATTAGGATCACCGCCAAAATAATGGATATTATCCTTTACCCATTTCAAGGCTAAGTTTTGGTCCCACAATCCCATGTTTCCAGGAACTTGAGCTTCTGGTAAATGAAGGAAACCAAATGGTCCGAGACGATAGTTTATCGAAACCAAAACAACATCTTGAATTGCAACAAATGCTGTGCCGTCAAATGAAACATAATCATTGGCAGAGCCATAAAGAAACCCACCGCCATGAATCCAAAACATTACAGGACGTAGTTTACTGTTTGAACCATCCTTTGAATCTTTTATGGCTGCTTCGGTGGCGAAAACATTCAGAATCAAACAATCTTCGTCAAATGTTTGCTTTCCATCATATAAACCTAAGACAATGGGCTGTAAGCAACGGTTGCCCCACTGGTCAGTCTTTAAAACTCCATTCCAAGGTTTCTTTGGCACAGGCTTGGAAAATCGTAGCTCGTTCAATGGAGGCTCAGCATAAGGAATCCCTAAAAATTGTTTAACTGTGACACCTCGAAACTCAACTGATTTACCTTGGATCAACCCAGTTGTTATTGCCAATTCATGTTCACTGTTGAACACAAGTTGAATCTGTTGAAGAATCACAAACAAGATCAAAATTGAAATTTTCATGTCTAGATAGTTCAGTTGTTTGGTCTTGATTGTATGAAACTTACTCTTATACCATTTATCTTATACTTTAAGTTGTCGCACTTACATATCTTTAGATACAAATCAATCTACTCAGGTAGGATCAAGTGATGCTAACAAGGTGTGTTGAAAGTATCAATCCATTTGTTATCAATTCAAGCTCGTAATCTAAGTATTTCACGGCAAAAATACAAAGTAATGCAAAATTTGACAAATTCATCGAACAGTTGGAAGAAGTTCTATTTCTTTAAACACTTGTAGTAAAAAAAGAGAAGTTACAGCCATTTCCGGTACTTCTGGCCAGCTCTACGAACCACTCCGGCCTAACGTTTGTGGCTATTACACTAAGTCGGAAGTTTGTGGCTCTAACGATAGGTCGGAAGTGGTTCGTAGAGCTGGCTGGAAGTACCGGAAAGGCTGTAACTTCTCTTTTTTTTACTACTAACACTTCTTTCTGTGAGGAGACCAGAGCCCGTCCTCTCAACAATGAGGCTGATGTTGTGTATGTGCATCTCGTTGTGTTTATTCAATTTATTTACAATGTTAGTTGGACCTTGCCAAGTGTTATCACCTCAAGTAACTTAAGTTTTTACTCGAAATATTTGCACACGTGAAACAAGTTTCAGTTCAAACTAATGTTTGATGTTATGACCCAAGATTTAGGTAACTGATATTCATAGGTTGTTCATTTGCAGACCCATTTTCACTTGTTAGTCATTGACTCAATACCAATAAAGATATACAATTGTAAATATTGAGACGGAAGATAAAATGCTTTTATTCACAGTCATTGTCAGTTAATTAAAATGACACACTAACAAACAATTGAAACTTAAGGTACTTACATTTTACTGATTATATTCACTGATCTTTTTCAAATACACACCAACTATGTTTAATTTTTAGTTATCAGTACTGTATACAGGCTAACAATAAATGGCCTAATAAACAATTGGGACAATGAAAAGTGAAATTAATTTATTTATCATAATATCTTAAGATTAAAACTCAAGACAGTCTTGAATTCATTCATTTCATTTCTGATATAAAATTTCTCAGCTTGTTCTGGGTAAAAAATGTAACAATATAAAATGAGGTAAAAAAATTTGAATTTCTGTCTGAATTTGGGTAAAAAAACATCGTATAAAAAGAGCTGAATACTATTCTGAATTGATACATTATGAGATTAATTGATTTGTGGTGAATTTGATCTTAGTCACATTAAACCAACTACTTTCCATCGGCAGTGATAGGAGTATTAATTGTGATTGAGGTTTACATTGACCAAACTTTAGGGTCTCCGATAGCCTATTCAACAGGAGACAATAAGAAAGAAGGAAAACACAAAAAGAAAAGAAAACAACAATTAGTCTTAATTTGTTGATGAGTTAAATAATTTACATGATTAAGTATGAATTATGGTTGAAATGCTATCACCAGTGAAAGGTGAAAATTAAATGAGATACTCAATTGGTCCATCTGGAAATATGTAAATAGGTTAGCTACAGTAGAGTTCAGTGACTAGTCAATTTTTTAGATTTTTATACACATTTTTTACAATTAATTTCCACTAATTAAGGTTGATTAAAGTTAATATAAGTACCAGGAGGTGTATATCGTCCTTTTTCGAGCCTTTCTTCAGTTTGGTAAACATAATAACAGAAAAAAAAGGTGACACCAAGCGCACATAAACCAGCAAAAGAGCCAACAACAATAGCGGTTATTTCACTAGGACCGAGGGATCCTGGAATAAAGGAATGAATAAGTGAAAAAATTAACTAAAACTTGTAAACATTCAGAGTAAGAAATTCAATATTGAATTTACACCAAGCTTATCATCTAAATCGGTAGATTAAAATGAGTAACTTGATATCTTGAAATCTACCAGACAAACACTTGAGTTATTCAACGAGAGCTTGTCCATGTTCAAGCTGATGGTCTAATTTACGAGCAAATTACAAAAAAATATCTTTAATGAATTCCTCTGAATATTATTCCTCTTGAATTGCAGATAAACTACTTCTCTTGAATTTACCATTAACAGATTATTTTCAAAAATTAATTTAACCAGTCAATTAGCTGGTTAACTGTCAATCCAATTGCTGTGTGAATAACAGTGAAGTCTATTTTTACTGTAGCTTTATTTGAAATGTTAATGTAGCGCTAATAATGATACAGTAAAACCAACGAACCTTAATCGACTTTTTTTGGTTGATTTTAACTTATTTTAATATTTAATTAATTCAGTCTAATTTATTCACAGTTTTCAGAATTATTTGCTAACTTTAAAGTTTTCCCTCTTTAGTGACATTACATTTGTTTCACTTTGAATCTGTTACATTGTAAACTGTTTTATCAGATAATCAAGGTTGGGTTATAATTTGAAATTTTACCTTTTTTCTGTCCGGAATAGCTTTGGAATGGATCGTAAGCTCCTTGGCAGTTTGTCTGGTTTATCCAACTAAATGCTGTGAATCAACCGAACGATTCCATGTGAGAAATGAAAATTTGAATCAAATGAAGTTGACAAGATAACTGTTTACTGAAACTTACTTAAAATTGTTAAAATTATGATTCCTTTGGTCATCATGTTGATGTATTTATAAATGGTCCACAATTTATGAGAAAATTTTGGTGTTGATTTCAATTGATGTAATCTTATCCAATATGTTAAATATTTTGGCATCAATGATCAATTGACTTGTTTCTTAAAGTTTCTCAGGCTATTTCATTGTTGCTTCGCAACCGTTGATAAAAGCTGCTATTTTTCATTATCTTCAATCTAATGTGTGCTTGAGTCAATGATGTAGACCAATCAACGGTAGAAATAAGAAGATATCTGATCAATTATGATTTACTGTTTAGTCTTAATGTTTACTCAGTATTGCAGGTAAATCTTTCAACTTGTAGCTTTCAAACCAGATGGGCTACAGTATTCCATGACTTATACGAGTTTCATTTCATATTTTGTTGGATCAAGTCTAAACAATTAGGTACTGAAGCTGATTGTTAACTGACTTTAGTGACTAGTTTTATAACAATATTAACTGTGGCTAGATCGCTTATCGCAGCCAGTCTTAATGGTTTAGCTAAGAGATGATCAGTCAATTCTTGAGGAAACTCAAAAGTATCAATGTATCAATATTTACAATGTAATAATGTGTATTATGTATTAATATTAATATGTAATATTAATAAAAAATAAATTATCAATGGTACAAGTTACAAGTTTTACAGTAAAACCTTGGTTTTTTACCGTTAAAGTGGAAGAAAAGATCTCATGAAATATAAAAATAATGGCGTAAGAAAAAACTGGTTAGACTGTTACATGAAAAGAACGAATTTATGAAGAAATTTTTTATTGTTTAAGAACTTTTTTCCTCTCAATTTTCGAAATATTTCTGGTTTTTTTTCTGATTTTAGTAATAAGATGCGATACAATAGTCTTTAATGGCTTTAAATATTCCTTCGTCCTTTGTAATTATCATCAAATCGCGCATAAAATAACCGAGGTTGTCCAATGATGAGTAGTAAAGGTTGACTAACTGGGCAAAATGGTCGGATCCTATTTTAGGGAGTATGACTAAGCTGGGACCAGAAAGTTTCATGAAAAGGTTTAAATCTTTTATAAGTTGTAATCTCAATCGATTCATTCAAAGACCAGGGGATTTTCCCTCCTTATGACATAAGCTTATTTCCTTAGTATTTGAATGTCTCCGTCTATTGGGTTGATCACTAACACAATGATTGGCAAGCCTACAAAGTCAGCGCTCGAAAACGTGTCTACGGTATGTCCCTGTTTTTGCCTCCAAAAATAAGCTCCTCTCATTTTGTACAATAGTCAACCTTTACTACTGCGCTAAGCACAAAGACGCTCTTTTTGATTCGAAACTTAAACTCCTTTTGTGTCGGAATTAGGCCATTTTTGAGCTTGAAGCTGGCATTGAAATGGATAATGTAAAACTGATGTACTGAGACTCTTTAGGTGGGACAATAGTCAATCTGAACTCTCAATATATGTTAGAGATAATTTTATTATCTAAATATTAATTGTTACCTAATAACAACTACAATGAAAAGTTAAACCCAAAAAGTTTATTTAAATGTCCATAGGTGGAGCCAGCTAATAGCAACCAGTTGAGTGATAATTTTATATTTTGGTTTAATCACAATCAAGATGAGAGGAAAAATTGTCAGTGGAAAATTTCATCCGATTTTTGAATCATTGAACGTCAACCAACTAGAAATATTGATGAATTACTTGCTAAATTAATAATTGGCTTATAATTGAACTCGTAATGATAATGAATAAGTGCCTGATTACAGGTTAACTCACTGAATTGGCTTTGACAGCAATCAATTGTTTATTGAATATCAAACTTTCAAGTTTTTAGCCAATTGTTGAAATTAAAGTTGATTGGTTCTATTATGCATAATTGAATAACATTGGATAAGCTGGTTAATGGCCATAACTGATGAGATTTTCACAGTGAGTTACATTGAATTACATGAATTCAATCTTTAAGATTGCCATATTAATCTTGTAAATTCAGTCATTACATTGCTTCTTGAACAAATGACAATTTAACAGACAAATTCTGATTCCGATCAATCTAAATTGGAATAGTTTCAAGTCTTAAAATTTCAATTCAAAATATACTTTATTTATCAAACATTTGTCCACTTAACAAAGCATATAAAAAATGTTATAAGTAACTTATACTCAACTGTACAAACAAAGACAGACAAAAATTAAATTGAATAAATAATTGAAGATTTGATGATTTAAAATTATGAGAAATGCTATGAAAATACAAGAATAATCAATTAGCAGATTTATCAAAAGTCTTGAGATAAGGTATTCTAATTGGAATTTTGAACGGAAACAATGATGAATTGCTATCATTATTCAATTGTTGTTCAACTTTCACTGAATCTTCCTTAAACTTATTATTGAAAATATGAAGAGGCACAAAACTGTCTAACTTGATGTTATCATTGATAATCCTGAGAGATTCATAATAATCTTTAGCTGATGATGTTGGCGTATCAACTTCATAAGTATTGTTAAACTTTGAATAATCAACTCTGTACTGTCCAGTGTCTTTACGATAACTAATCATATGTTCAAAGCGATGACCCCACAAGATTTCACAAGGCAAGTAAGAAGTTCGAGCTTGAATTGATTGTCCAGTCGATTCAATTGTCCCTTCAAGAATAACAACAATCTCAAATCTTTCCCTTATCATAGCATCAGCTGACATTGAATAAAATGGCGAGGAACTGTCGACTTCATGGACAATTGTCGCTGGCCAAACAAGGAATACATTTGAATCTGAATTGTCAAATTTAACATCGACTCTGTTATGATAATAAGGAATGACTTCGCCTTCTGAAGTGATCTTTCTGTCAATGACCAAAGCACTAATGGAGGCTCCAATGATGTGAGATCGATTCCTAACATCGCCAACTCTAAACATGAGACACAATTTACCATCTCGAAGGCATATACAAGCATTTCGACTAAACATTAAAGTCTGTGATCGTTTCTTTGGACGAGATAATTTGGCAAACACAAAGCCAACCACAAAACATTGAATCATGACTCCGGTTATTGATTGAACACACATAACAAAGATGGCTTCTGGACACTCTTCATTAGTATAACGACTTCCATATCCAATTGTGTGTTGAGTTTCAACTGAAAACAAAAATGCAGTGGCAAATGTATCAACACCATTAACACATTTCCGTCTATCATTTGAAGAGGGACCATCTAAATCACCATGAGCATAAGCAATCAAATACCAAACAACAGCGAAACCCAACCAACTCAACAAGAAGCCCATACTAAAGACCAGAAGATTCCACCTCCATTGAATATCAACCATAGTTGTGAATGTATCTTGTAAATAGCGTTGAGACCTTTTCTCGACTCTTTCTTTGGACAAATTGACACTTCCATTTTTAAGGACAACACGCTTTTTTAATCGACCTGGAAATATCTTGGATTTACCTTTTGATGAAACATTGTTGTTATTGTTGTTTATGGTTGATGAATTTGTAAATGTATTTGTATACTCGCCATTGCCAAATGCATTTGTAGATTTAAAACGATAAGTCAAATTTTTTTCATATTCAGTGGTCATCGGTGCTTGTGGAGCAATTGAATCACAATCGGTGGCATTTTTTATGTCAATTATTGTTGATGATGATAATAAACGTTTATCTGGTAAAGCCAAATCCCGCCATTTATCAGAATCAATTTCCATCTTTACTTTTGATTAACACTTATAAACACTTTATCACAAATGATACAAATACTATGTTAACACATCATGATGAAACCATCAACAACTCAAACTGTTGTTCAGTCCTCTAAATACCTTGAAATGAAATCATTAAGAAAGTTAAATAATGGCTTTGCAAGGAGCCAGTTTAGAGGCAGAAAGGGTTGGTTTAATGAAAATCAAGTAATAAAGGTAAAGTTTCCAAATGAAATGTTTACTTGAAAGTTTTCATTTTTTCTCATCTTTTTCTTCTTCTTCTTCTTCTTCTTCTTCGTATCTTAATTGTTTGCTCATCTATTGACTTATTAACTTTGTTATTAATTTCTTGATTACTATCGTAATTGTGCAACAAAAGTGTCCGAAATTATCTGAATTGAATCTTGCCTTGAGTAACTTCCGTCGATCCAATGAATGAAAACAAATAAGTCATTCACAATCGGCTTTTATGGATACATTTGGATTAACTTGAATCAACTTGAATCCTCTTCTCAATCTCCTCAGTAATTGGACCTAATCTTAATTAAATTGTTCAAAGGTCAACAGCAAGTTAATCAAAAGGCAAAAAATGTTTCCAGTTTCATCAAAATTTACATTTTACTTTCCATTAAATGTTTAGTTGCAACTCAAATTACAAAAAGTCTGGTAACTCTGGGTAAAGAAATAACCAGAACCAAATGATTACAATTTAATGAAATTTAAATGGAAACTCTCTCGCAACTTTCCTTGATAATTAATTGTTAACTTTAATTCATTGTTTACCAACCATTATTAAACATGAAATGACTAGCTGAGCAAGAGCTAAGCAATTAATTTCATAATTGGTGAAAGTGATCAACAAAATTCCGACAAAACGGTATTTTTGTGCGAAAATTTAAATTTTAATGAAATATGTAATCGATTTGAATTGGAATTACATATATTAAATCAATTTGTATTCTCAGTTCGTAGTTTGCAACTGATTTTGTAATTTTTTCAGAAATCAAATCAATCCTTTTTAACTCAGTAATGTGATGATGATCGGAAATTTCGGCTGAACTAGAATGATGAATTTGAATCAAAATAAATTTAATTCACCATCGATAATAATTTCAAGAGTTTAGCACATTCAGAATAACATTAGTTCGTGGCTTGTACTATTAGTTTCAAACTGTTGTGCAAAGTTAACAGAGAAAAGTTTTCTCGTCAAAATGGCTCAAAATTTGTGTAATTATGAGTTTTTTGAGTAGTCAGGAATAAATCATATAATATAATCACTACCGGATCAAGATCATGTTAGCCATTCATTAAAAGTCATCAAAATGACTGGCAATGAAATTGAGCCTTAGATTATGAAATGTACTACGAAATGCCTTGTTCCCTTAATAAATATTCATTGTTTGGTCTAGTTTTGATTCTTATCGTTACATTGCACTTATGTGATTTGGTAGTCTTTTTAGACCGTAAGTTTTCACTAAAGGATTGGAATAGCCGCAGGTCTACAAGGTTGATCCGCTTAATCCTCAGACTGGGTTAAAATTTTCAGAAAGGAGCCGTAAGATTTATTGTCTCTTACATTATATAATGTATATTCAGATGTTAGAGCTATCAAATTGATATTCTAGTAGTTGGTGAAAATCTAAAGATCTCGTCGATTAATTACAATCATTGGTTTCTCGCCAAATGAAATGTATTGGGTTCATGCTAAAACTTGGGTCTAATTGAACGTAATTTCAACTTGCAGCTTTCATCAGACTCTCTAACTGCCTTGAACTTCACCAAATGGAGACACTTTAAATCTTGAGTCTATTTTGATGATTTAGCTTCGAGAGTAAAAAAGCAAATCAAATCTTGATTTTAAATGGAGATAAAATTAATTATACTCGTGGTTACTGATCGCAAATCAGTAATAATCTTCCGTTGAATCTGAAACAATGAGTAAACCAATAAAAAATAGCAAACATCTCGTAATGCAAAGGGTGTTCAATGTAATTACTTGCAAACTGGCGGAGCTTAAATTTTGATAATCACAATCAAAAACATGATAAGACAAGATAACCAGAGTAAAATCACATTTTACCTTTCATCCTTTACCTTTGTTATTGCGATGTCGCTCTAGTTATCTTGCTTATCATGTGATTATCAAAATTTAGCTCCGCCAGTTTGGAAGCAATTACATTGAACACCCTTTAAATAACTCACAGCTCAAAACAAATCAAGGCAAAAAAATGGTTATCCATTTTCAATGTTAGCCAGGTTAACCTTTGACTCGTAAAGTTGACCAAAAAATACAGAAAAATTGCAATTAATTTTAAAATTTGCTCCAATTCAAGCTGATTTCAATGTAAACAGTCTCATAAATTGAATTTGAACCTGAATTTCATGGTAATTGAGATTAATCCAAACTCACATTTTTAAATATTTCAAAGGGTAATCATCATTTCTCAATTAATCTTGTTTAAGGATTTATCTTCAATTTAATCTGAAAGCTAAATCAGGTTTGATGCAAGCGAAAGATATTAAAATAATTAGCGGGAAATAATCAAAACTTGATGTGACTTGATGAAAGGTTGATTTAACTTGATTAAAGCAACAATCGAAACAAATGTTTTCATTGTTAATTCAATCAAAACAAAACTTGTAAACAGCAATTAAAGTGTGATGAAATGAAATGAACGGAAACACAATTAATCGTGGTTTTCATTGAATTCATGCTTTACCGATGTTTTCAATCAAACCTTCAAACCCAATCAACCAATTGAAATGTAATCAAATTGATTATTGAAAACTTGCAGAAATAAAAATAATCTTGAAACGGAAAAGGGAAAAAAAGTTCAAGAATATTCCGAGTTATCTACAAAAATGGAAAACTAAACATTTTGTTCATTGAAAGTTGATTTTGACCATTCAATTGACATTTCCAAATGAATTAATTGTGAGAAATGCAACTTTCTTCAAGGCAATTAAACTGATCATCAAAATGATCTAATGATGTATACAAAGTGAAACATGTAATCATACGAAATGTAAATTCATTTGTCAAACAACAATCAAGATTATCCATTTGAAAAGCATTCATTTTGCCATTTTCATTGAACACAATTACCTTCATTACTTTATTCATTTCTTCTTAACCCTTTAATCTTTACCATTTATTATTAGTTTCTGGGTCAATGTCATTCAAATCATTTGATCAACCAAATTAACCTTTTTTTTGCTTATTTTAAATTCTCGAAAACAAATTCTTGTAATCAAAAATTGATATTCCAGGTTAAATCAAGTGAAGATGATGAAAAGACTCTTTAAATCATTTGATAAGATAACCTGTTTAAGCTTGATTATCATCAATGAATTTGATCATTTGAGTGATTTATCCGATTCCATATCTTAATCCTTTTTCACTTCCGTGAAGTTAAACCGCAATTTTAATGCAACATTTGATTTCTGATTGCAATTTTGACTCTTTTCTACCATTTTTGGGTTCTCAATATTTTCTGGTTTTTTATTGTTTTTCATTGTTTGCAAGCGATTCATGTTTGGATTGGCATTGCCTTAAATGTGTCTATTCGTTCTGGTACAATATTCATTTCCTTCTGAGATTCATTTAGAGACTGTCATCTGGTTCAGATAAAATTGTTATCCTTTGCTAGTCCAACTCAATGAACACCAAGCTCAGATCAATTGTCTAAAATCATTTCATTTCTTATATCCTTTTGTCTACAATTTTTTTTCCTTTTTAACGACTTTTCAAAATGTTTGATTAAAGTTTAATAACTAGCTAATCATTAGACCGAAGGACGACTTATTAATTGATTATCTGGGAATTTCTCGGGCAATAAAAGGGAATGAATGGCGAACGATTGTTTCCATGAAAAGCTTTTGCTTTCGAAGTGAAAAGGATTGATCTCAACGCTCAAAAATTGTGATGGTGATTTGGTTTGGGCTTAATGAATGAATCCGTCAGTTTAATTCCTGTTTAACATGATTCATTACAGACCCTGAAAATGAATGGAAACCTGATTAACCTTAATTGTTTCTAGAAAATATCAATTGAACTTGTAAATCTAATTGTTGAAACTGATATTTATTGTTAAATCATTGAGAAATAATGTTTGATTGAAAAGGTAAAAGACAATCATGCATTTGAAATTATCCGCTGTTGCTAATTAAATTGACGAGTAAATAGTTTATCGTTTAATTAGATTTACAGCTTATAGAAATCAAATGAATTATCTGAAAGGGTTTGGAATGAAATGTTTAAAAGAAGCTCTTGTTAACAACCGTTATTATAACAATGTGATAATTGAATGCTTGTAATAACTGTTAATGCAATAAAGAGTCTGAATTACTTTATTGAAATATCAAATGATGAGATATTAAAATGAACGAGTTAAATGAAACATTTGATAGCACATTGACAAGTCTGGCCAAATAATTAGCTCTATCAACTCTTGAATTGAATGTTTTCCTGAATTTCAAACCTCATTTCATTGCATGTCAAGAGTCAATAGAGTAGGATTTTGAGTAAATGCAAACAAAGAGTTGGGACAAACAAATATACAACTTAACCGTTATCCTTGTCCAATCATCATTTTAAGATACCTTAGGTTAAATCTTTGCCGATTACCTTTGATAGTCTTTGATTGAAGATAATGTTTTCAGTTTGTTTGCCTCAACGTTATTTTGATGAGGAATAAGCAAATAATGTCGAGTGTTTAATCCAATTCTTTTCGTCAATTCGCAAGATTAAATGGTTGAGATAACTGATTGAGTTAACAATATTGCTTTGTAAGAATTGTTTTGTTTTTTCAGTTTTTTAGCATTCTGATTATCATCTAAACCATTCCATGATGAACAATACAATTGATTTTGCTTCTTCTCTGGTCAAGTTCTCCAGGCCCATTCTTTTTCCACCTCATTTTAGACCATTTAACACCTTAGATCAGATCACTCAATGATTGTGTTCAATGCTTCTGAGAATTCATTTGAACTAATCAGTAATGGTCAGAGAACCTTACAAAATCATGCTTTGCAAGTGAAATCTTTTTACTTGGCAAAAAGGACTTTATGTAATCTTGCATTATCGTATCGTATTATCGGCCATAAGGGCAAGTTATTTTTAGCCACTAATCGCTTTGAAGTAAATCTGGTTACTGCATACTCTGGGACACTCGGTTTGACTCGATAAAATAAAGCGCTTAACGACGCAAAAAGCAGTGTTTGTTAATGAACCTGGGAAATGTCAATATAATAAAATCTTGACGTCTACTTGGTTGCATAGCTTTTGTTTCTCGTGTGTTTGACCATATTTAGCAGTTCTGCTTGGCGTCTATGAGCGTTGTTATACTAGCAACCATAATTTATTTGTGTTTTGATTGACTAAACATTTCATTGAAAAGATTGAACATTGATTTTACTCGATTCATCAGATGATTTGTTGTTTCCTTTCATTTGCAGACAATTAAATATTTTTCCCATGAACTTCAGAATGAAGAAGAAGAAGAAAAAAAAACAAAAGAATTAGTAGAAACTTGATGATAATCATTATTTCTATTGCTATTTTCATCGCCCTCGATAGCTATCAGCAATCAATTAACAGTATTAAGTTTGACGATTTACCTTCTTTACAACCAGCAAATCAAATAAATGTCCATGAATCCTGTGAATCAGCGTTTTTGAGTGACTGAAGCACAAGTAAAACGATCATAACTTTAATAATCTAAATGAGAAATGAAATTTGCTCAAAGAAAGAAAAAACCAGATAAACTAGAGACTAAAAGAAGAAGCAAAAAAATCAGAGAAAAATGAAAATTCCATAAAATTGCATAGTAAAATCAGTGAAAGTGGAAATTTTCATCAGCAATCAACAGTAAATGTTGAAATGCTTTTCACTTCTCAATTACAAAATGGTAAAAATTGCAGGTAAAAGAAGAAGATGAAGAAGAAAGCAAATGATGATGATGAGAAACAGGGTGGGAGGAATTGAGTGATGATAGGAAAAGCGTTTCCATCAAATCGCAGTTTTACTTGTGAACATTAATCACTAAAGCTGAGAGTAGTTTCAATTAGCTGGTCAAGTAAACAAAGTGATTTTGAAGCAACACAATTTAAAAACAACAGATAACTCTATTTACCTTAAATGATTTCAGTGCGAATTTTAAACGCTTTAATTAGTTGTTAAAGAGGGCCTTTCTCACCCTCTCTAATTGCTTTATATACATGGTATCTTGATATCTCCAAGAACTCAAGTTTACCAGCAAAGAATCTCATATTAATCTGATCTTAAGAGGTAATACAAAACTGGTAAACTAAACTTGATTACTTGGTTTGTGTAATTCACAGTGAACCTTGTCGAGGACGTTACACAGTACTTGATATTGTTTCATTGGTGCCAGTCTTAACAGTTGTCTTTTACTATTACCAACATTTAACTTCGTGATCATCATCATCGTCATCGTCTTCTTCATCATCAGCTATAATCTAGATAAAAACAAATTAGAGGATAATAACAAGTATTAATTGTTGCCCTAGCATGATGGAGACAGACAAAGATTGGAAAGATAATAACAATGCTGAAAATCGTTTATTATCATCAACTATAATTGACATAAAAAATGCCACCGATTGTGATTTAACTGCTACTCCACAATCAACAGTGACTACTGAATATGGTAAACAATTGACTTATCGTTTTAAATCTACAAATGCATTTGGCAATGCCGAGTATACAAATACATTTACAAATTCATCGACCATTAACAACAATAACAATCATGTTTCAACAAAAGGTAAATCCAAGATATTTCCAGGTCGAATAAGAAAGCGCGTTGTCCTTAAAAATGGAAGTGTCAATTTGTCCAAAGAAAGAGTCGAGAAAAGGTCTCAACGCTATTTACAAGATACATTCACAACTATGGTTGATATTCAATGGAGATGGAATCTTCTGGTCTTTAGTATGGGCTTCTTGTTGAGTTGGTTGGGTTTCGCTGTTGTTTGGTATTTGATTGCTTATGCTCATGGTGATATTGATGGTTCACCTTCTAGTTCCAGTTCGTCTCCTTCTTCAACAGATAAACCTAAATGTGTAAATGGTGTTGATTCATTTTCCACTGCATTTTTATTTTCAATTGAAACTCAACACACAATTGGATATGGAAGTCGTTATACCAATGAAGAGTGTCCAGAAGCCATCTTTGTTATGTGTGTCCAATCAATAACCGGAGTCATGATTCAATGTTTTGTGGTTGGCTTTGTGTTTGCCAAATTATCTCGTCCAAAGAAACGATCACAGACTTTAATGTTTAGTCGAAATGCTTGTATATGCCTTCGAGATGGTAAATTGTGTCTCATGTTTAGGGTTGGTGATGTTAGGAATCGATCTCACATCATTGGTGCCTCCATTAGTGCTTTGGTCATTGATAGAAAGATCACTTCAGAAGGCGAAGTCATTCCTTATTATCATAACAGAGTCGATGTTAAATTTGACAATTCAGATTCAAATGTATTCCTTGTTTGGCCTGCGACAATTGTCCATGAAGTCGACAGTTCCTCGCCATTTTATTCAATGTCAGCTGATGCTATGATAAGGGAAAGATTTGAGATTGTTGTTATTCTTGAAGGGACAATTGAATCGACTGGGCAGTCAATTCAAGCTCGAACTTCTTACTTACCTTGTGAAATCTTGTGGGGTCATCGATTTGAACAAATGATTGGTTATCGCAAAGACACTGGACAGTATAGAGTTGATTATTCAAAGTTTAACAATACTTATGAAATTGATACGCCAACATCATCAGCTAAAGATTATTATGAATATCAAAAGTTTGTGAATTCAACTTATAGTCGAGGCTTATTGCCGGTTGAAATGTTAACCGACACAAAGACTAAAGATGAAGATGTTAATACGTATTCACCTGATTCTGGGCTTTCTAATAACAGTTATGATTTACTTGCATATCCATTCCCAACAAGATCCGAATAAGCTTCATTCAGCAAATATCATTTTCCAAAATCAAAATCGACATTATTTCCAAGCCAATCGACTAATCTTATGATCTTAATCTTATGGGCATTTTTTCCTAAAATTATTGTAATATTTTGAATGATACATTTTCTTATGTATTTTATAAGTATTTACTGTTGTATCTGCGATACTAGAGTTACTTTAAAATTGGAAACCTTAAATTGTGATGATCTTGATACGTTAAGTGTAAATAAATGTACAAAATTGAATAAAAACAATATAAATTAAAATTGACTCGATTAGTTGTTGAGAAATGTGAGAGTATAAAAAATAATCATTGTAATGATAATTGGGGAAAAAAGGACATTTCATTCACAACGTAAATATCAAACCTTGGAATAGTAAATCACTGAATCAATTGTTTTCAGTGATGAGTGTAAATTATTTCAATAGCTTCAGGGTAATATTATAGAGGAAAGCAAATGACAGGAATTTGTCATCTTGTAAGGGAAATAAAAGACTTAAAATGTAAGCAAGTTGATCATCAAATAGTAGTGTTAGTTAATTCACGACAGAACCTTTTTTGGGCATCTTGTGTTACAGTTAGGTTGAAAGGATGGTGCATCAGAATTAAGGTAATCTTTTCGATAGAATATTTTAATCAAGATAATTACGTTACTAAAAAATTTCCCATTTTTCAAAAGTTTCTAGCAATTTGATTTTCTTGACTAAAAAATTAGACAAAACAAACAACGGAGTATTTTTAAGAAAAGTGTAAACTGAGAAGTTAGGTTTCAACCACAAATTGTATTTGCAGTGAAGAACAAAGTATCTGGTGAAAAGTAGACAGAGAGAGAAAGAGTAAAGTTGGGGTTTCATAGTGAATAATATTGTTTATCACCTTGAAAGTTTCGATGATGTTTTCCATTTGGTGAAAATTTCCAAGTTACATTTAGATCATGACAAAAAATTAACTACTTTTAGTGATGTGCATGATAATTCAATTAGAAACATTGAATATGAATTACATTTTTCAAACTTTACAGTTTCAATTTGATCACAATTTTAAAATGCTGTCGCTCAAGCGAGCTTCAACTTGATTGGCCCAATCTGTTTATCTCTATCCTCCTTGCTTCCATCTTGTTCTTCTTCATCTCTTTCTGATTTTTTTATGTTTTGTATGAACGGCTCACATGATATATTAATTGTTTTATAGACACAATCGATTTCACTTGTTCTTGATGGTGATGACAGATTCTTGATATTTTTCCATTGAATTTTCAATATGCTCTCCAATAGACTTTCTTTTTGATATCTTCCATCACTTTAAATTTAACTTGTTCGTTATGCTGATGGATGTTGATGATGTGAAGATGATGAACTTGATGATTGTTGCGATGACAGTTGATTTGACGATGAAGCTCTTGTATCTTCGGATGGTTTTAACTCTCTAATCTGTTTAATCAAATATGCTTTCTCATCATTGAACTGTTCATCATCAGCTCTATCAGTTTGAAATTTTGTGAGAAAGTCGACAAGCTTCTCCTTGTTACGTAGAAGGATATCTAGAATAGGCTTTGGTTTATTAGGATTAGCGACAAATACTTTAAAAACGTGAAAAGCTTCGAATTGTATATTCCTTGATCGATCTTTCAACAATGTCATCATTAACTTGAGGTTATCCTGGTTGCTTATATATTTTGTCATTACAGTAAAGTTGTGACGATCCAACAAAAGTTCACCTAAAAGCTTTAACGATTGACGCTTGGTAACATAATTTCCAGAGTTTAATAAATTTTGATATTCACTGAAGAAATTGTCATAATTGGCTTCGAGAAATTCGGATGAAAGTATTTTATGCCGAGTCAATAACTCTTTGAATGTGGAGAAGGCATCAGAGGCAATATCAAAAGTGGAGACTTCAACATACAAGAAGAAATTATAAAAATCTGGTGAATAAAGCATAATCTTGGCCAATGCTTCGTATCGAGCACATTCACGTAACATTGATCCACTGTTCAGAGCAATATCGTGTTTTTCATATCCTTTCATTAAAGTATAAAGAATTTCTGGTTTGGTACAGATATATTCCACTGTTGGACATCTTGTTCCTGTATGGATAAGAAAAATGAGATCAATATAAGATGAACAAAAATTTTCAGATAAAAATAACAAACATTATTGACATCAAGTGTATTATTCTTTCGCTCTTTCTTTTTCTCTATCACATATTAAATTCTTCTTTAATTAAATGATCAACTAAAGCCTCTATCTACTAACTTACAATAACATCTTAGCCTTGACACTTAATTATGTTTAAAGATACTCAAGGTGGAATCAATTTTTACAATCAAATAAAGCTTCTTTCCCTCTTACTCTTTGAATTGAAGTCAACGTTCAATTCAAACAGTAACTCCTAAAGATGATATAAAAAGGATACAAAAGAAAGGAAGGAAACCGGCAAACCGAGTTGTTTAATTAATTCAACTTACCTATTTGACGTCGTAGAATATTATTGAATATTTGGGCAACATCTTTCTTAGCTTCAAACTCAATCCGCGATAGATTATTGATCAACATTAACAAAAGATTAGAGTTGTATAATTCTTGGGCCAGTTGAGCAACAGCTATATCTATTTGAGGCTCATTATCACCGCTTCCGTAAAGGAGATTTTTTATCGAAACCAAATTTTTACTCAGATCCTCTGTTGCCTTTTCAGCTTTTTTATCTCCTTTCTCGACAGCAATCAGGGCTTCTTGAACTGATTTGATCAGCTCAAATGGGTTCTTGTGGCTTTTTCCAAATAAAGGCATTACAGAAACTTTGCAGTATTAATTAAAACAGAAAAAAAATTAGGTAATCAAAACATGACAAAATAAACAAAACCTAACTCAAAACGATTTTGTTGCCCTGAAAAAAAATGAATACACAAAAAACACTTAAAATAAAATAGATGGCGGTGCAATCGAGAGGTTTAAGAATTGGTGCAAAATTTGAAAAATTGAAATTACATGTGTGTGACTGAAAATTGAAAATTATTTGTTATTTATGATTAATCTGAATTTACTTATTTTTCTCTGAACAGAATTGTATTCCTAATTTTCTAATTTGTGCCATGCCACCTAATAAAAGTAAAATAAGTCGCGGTGATGCTCTCAAAAAGGTTTATTCAAACCGTATTCAGAAGGCTTATGAGACAAGTGATCATCTCAACTTAATTGACCAACAATTATGTACTCGTTTAAGTGGCTATTCCTTAAAGTTATATCGTTCAACTGAAATAGACAAAGAATATTTTGAATGGATGATTAATCTAATTCAAACAAATATGGAAAATTTTTATAAAACATGTGCCTGGGGTTGGAACAAGAGCCAAAAAGAGAAAGAATTAAAACATGCAAAAGCTATGATCCTCATTGCTATCAATTCAGAGAGCAACAAACCAGTTGGATTTACTCATTTTCGTTTCGATTATGATGAAGACGGTGCTCGAGGTGTTATCTATTGCTATGAACTTCAAATTGAGGCGGACTATCAGCGTAAAGGATTGGGTGCTTGGTTAATGGATGTTTTATCGGCGTTCTGTATAAAATTTGAGTTCCCTAAATTGATGTTAACTTGTCTAAAACACAATCGTCAAGCAATGAATTTTTATCGTAATAATCGTGAATTCATGATTGACCGTCGATCACCATCTAAATGTGGAGAGAACACCTGTTATGAAATTTTAAGTAAAAAGATATTACCATCTTAACACGGAATGTTTATCCATCATTTGATACAAAAACCTTTGTACTTCTCATAGCATCATTCAAACAGAGACAATCCATCAGCCAAATAGCAATTGTAATAGTGGAGACGAAACATACTCTTAAGTTTTTTAAATAAATTTCGTAATTAAGCAAATTAGCCTCAAACTTTGACGTTTTGAAATAACTGAATCCATTCTGTGTTCAACTTCATATTCAAGTGTTTCTTCCTATGTTTACTCTTCAACATCTCCTTGTCCTTTCACTAATTTAAATATTGAACGATGATCTGTATAAAATCAGCATCAGCATGAACCTGGCCTAAGGTAGTTCCTAAAGCTGTAAGACATCAGGATTTAATCCACATCAAGACCTAATTTTTGATTTTTAAGCGACTGATGCTTCTGGCTTTAATTACTTATATTTCTACATTTTTGTATACTTGAGTTCACTCGATAAAGAGATATTTTGATCGATATAACCAGTGTAAATTTATTAAATTTTTACAGTAAAATATAACAGATAAATTTATTGTAATTCATGAGTCCTATTCCTAATAACAGCTGAAACTGAGCTAGCCGGGAGGAAACTTTTTTCAGTAATTATCATAGTAATAAAACTTGGAGGAGTCAAATCATAGGAAAGGCTAAGCACATTAACCTTTTTCTCTTTTTTCTGGACTTCATCTTGTTTACTTTTAATTCCTTTCGAATCTTTCGATTTTCCCGTGTTACCATAATTAAAGAAGTCTTCCTGCGGTTTCAGTGGACCTGAAATTATTTTAAGAATAATGAGTTATGTACAAATTAAAGAGTATCAAAATATTTACCTGATTTACTTAAAGCAAAAGAGTCCAGGATTGCTTTCTCAGAAAACTTAAATGTTTCACAGCATACTAATACTGGAACATTGAACGAATCTGCTACTAAGGCTATTTGAGCACTGCCAATGCTTGCCATAGCGTACCCATTAGCCAACATGGCATGAGCACCAAGAAAAACTTTGGTTACCTGGTGTAAAGTATAAATCGGAATTAATGAATACCAAGTCCAGCTATATTATGTAAACTTACCTTGTTCATTACATGGGCTATCGCATTTATTTGAATGTAAGTTGTTTTAACACCTCGAGAAACTAGACACTTCATCAGATCTTTTCCAACCATTCTTGGTTTTGCGTCAACAACGATTACATGGAAATTTTTGCCATCCATGAAAGCTTTTAGTAAAATATTTTTTACTAAAAGAGGGTTTCCATAAGTTAAAATAACTTCTCCATCATGGTCAATTTTTTTCGCTCCTTCCTTTGTTATAGCTTTGACTGCTAATTCAATTTCTTTTGTCATAAACCCTTCTACCAAACTCTTCATCTGTTTTCTTGCTACTTCTTCAGGAACAGTGGATGAAATTTTGGAAAGATGTGATTTGATGAATGCAATTCCATTTACCATACTAACTGACATTGGTCGACATTGATTAAGAAATTTGACAGCGGAATTCAATGCCGCCTGAAAACTGCGAGCGAAGTCTTTATTTTCGGGGGTAACATGGTCATGGATCATTTGTTTAATAGCAATTAACATCGATAAACAGCGTTGTGTTGATCCAGTGATGCTTCCTGCACTCATTCTGAGTCCAACTTTAAATAATAGAGGATGATAAGATTGTAAAAATAACTTTGGTGCCAGATGAGCAACAGCAATTTCAGGCTCGTTATCATCACCTCCATGAGGACTTTTCGTTTTTATTTCTTTCGGTTCTTTTTTATTAACATTCTCTGCAGCCTTTTCACGAATTTTAGGTTCTTTCTTTACGATAGCCATCTAAAATCAAATGGATTCACAGAAACTTTGCAGTATTAATTAAAACAGAAAAAAATTAGGTAATCAAAACATGACAAAATAAACAAAACCTTACTCAAAAATTATTTTGTTGCCCTGAAAAAAAATGAATACACAATAAATAAAATAAAATAGATGGCAGTGCAATCGAGAGGTTTAAGAATTGGTGCAAAATTTGAAAAATTGCTAATTATTTGCTAAATAGTATTTAATATTTTTAACTACTATTAAAGGACGGAAAAGAATGGAGAATGAAAATTTATAACGTGAAAAGTTGATATTGAAAAATTTTCAATGCAAGGTGAAGGTGAGGATTAAGATTTAATGTGTTGGTAAATAAATGGATAGGTGAAATGTATCGATTGAAGGACTGACTTGATAAGGTCAAAATGGTAAAAATTAGAGCCATAAAATTCAATGATGAATATAAATAATAAAAAATTTCAATACTGATTTATAAACGATTTAATCGTATTAATATTAATAAATTGCCTTCTCTCTTATTTTATATACATTATTGTATTTCCGTTGTTAATATCGCCCTCTGATCTTCCTTCAAGATCACAATCTTAAATGTTTATTTCAGATGGAATTGGAATTAAGAAACAAAAGAATCAGATTAGTTGGACGATGAAGATAAAGATGAAGTTTGAAGTGGAAATGAAGACTCTTATTGATTAACAATGAAAGTTGACAAATGAAACAAACAGAAAAACAAGAAAGCAGAAAAGACTAAAAAATTTGAAAACACAGCAGAAAAGTATGAAATGAGAATCAGATAGATGATGAAGATTGAATACAGAGAAAGAAAGTGAAGAACGATAAATGCTGATATAAAGTGATGGCAAAGTGAGTCTTTGTTGTCAAAAAACAGTTAAAGTAAAATGAAGGAGAAAGTTGAGTTTTGATGATTGATTGAGTAAAACCAGAATTTATAAGTCAGAATTTTTAAGTCAAAAGCTCAACCTAGAAGCAGCGATCAACAATTGGTCAAAATAAAGATTTCGCTGTCGATATTGAAGATTGGTATATTATTAAATGAATAAATGAATAATGGTTTGAGTTTAGCTGTAAGATTGTTACAAAATTATGGTCAGGTAAAAGTCCACTCACTTGGCTATCTGGTTCAAGATATCTTTCCGATTGCCATTCTTGTAAACCTAAACAAAAACCTTACGCATGCTCAAGACTTTTCGTAGATTTCCTTTATCAGTGTTTTTTGAATTAATGAATAAATTTATCGACACCATCGTGCGTCGATGGGCATTTTTTGTGTCTATGTTCAGCAATCTATCTCTTCTTGCCTTCTACCTGTAATTTTGCTCACTCATAATCCTTAATCAATATGTGTTTCTAATGGTATGCTAAAAAATCACATGACAAAATTCTGGTTGAAATGTAAACAATAACAACATCTGATAGTCATTTATTGTTTTCATCCAACTTACCAAGGTTTTTGTACTCAACTGAGTCAGTTTATTTCTTTTTTTAATTGTGCTCATTGGTTAATCCGAAAATAATTTAAAATCTACTTTCAAATTACAGTTGAATATATTGGTGAGTGTTATAAAAAAGTGATGAGACCATTTTTATTTTGATTAGATGATATAACTGTTGTTGGATATGATGACTATAAATTTTTAAGCCTAAGCCAATCTGTGGTGCTTTTGTCACTTTGTTTAATTTTGCCCTCTTATCCTTTCTTTTGTTTTTACATTTCCGTTTAGATTTCACTTATGCTACTGTGTTTTTATGTAAAATAGTGCTTAACGCCATATTTATTTTCTCTAATTGAGAATAAAAAACAACAAAGGCCTAATCCAGCTCTTCCTTCACCATGGAGGCAACATTAAGAGCTTTCTTGAATATTTTCCCCGAGAAAATGAAAAAACGGACTATATGGTACCTATTCGATCGTTATCTTGGACATTTTCTTCGGGAAAAATTAACACTCGACCAATTATCCATCGATCTGATTGGTGGTAAAGGATGCAGTAACGAACTGCACCTAGATGTGGACTCTCTCAATGAAGAACTATCGTTTTTACCAGTCAAATTTGTAGATGGTTGTTTCATTGACGAAATATCTGTCTATATTCCATGGTCTTCTCTGCTGACTGAGTCTTGTTCACTTCAAATCAAGGGTGCCAGATTTATCTGTCAGCTTGCTGAACAGCCTGAAACCAAAAGTATAATAACATCAGACTACTTGAGTCGATCTATCATGAGTAGTTCATTACAACTTGCTGAGGAAATTGTGCATGAAAACCAAGAAGAAAAATTCGAAGGATTGGAAATTTTCGCTCACCTTATAGACTCAGTTTTACGTCGCGTTGAACTGGTCGTATTGAACACTTCATTTATTTTGCGTAGTAAACGCAAACAACTGAGAAACCCAGCATCCGAGGAAGATGAATACTGTTATTTAGAAATTAAAGTCAGAACATTGAAGTGCGAAGAAAATGGAACTGAGGAAGATAAAGATGCAGAAAAGGATGATGTTAAAAATGCTCCCAAAATCATAACCAAGAAGTTGACCATCGAAGATATTGAAATTTTTCTCGATGGTGATAAAATCTGTACGTTAGCAGACAGGCATGTGATGGAAGTTAACGTTCGCGATTCCCGATGTGATATTCAAGTTTATCTTGCCTCAATATTAACTGCTGTTCTCGAAAAGAAACATATATCTGAGCTTATCAACATGGCAAGTAATAGAGAAAGCAGTTCAAACGATATTTTCAAAAAAGGTGACAAGGTCATGTCACCTATTGACTATGCAAGAATCGAGCACCAACTCAAATTTGATTCTACCAAGGGAAAGCCTGCCCCATCCAGACATAACTTGAATGCTACCCTTTTGAATACTGAAGAAGCTTCTAATGCATGGACAAGTTCAGGTGATGCCAATAAATCTTGTGATAACAGTTTTTTGCCCATTGATTATTCTAATCACTCCAGAAATGGACCGAAAAACACAACTGAAAAAAAAGAACCGCAAAAAAGTGAAGTGAAGTCTTTCAACTGTGCAATAAAGCTTCCTGGCTTAGCACTTTGCTTAGTTGATTCCAGTTACTCAGGAAATGCTACACAGATAGACGCAAAAGCAAAAAGTTTAGTTGAAGTGAATGCTGCCTTGGATGAACTTATAACTTGTGATCATCTCAGATTCACCACTGTACCTATCCAAATTGAGATAGGATCTTCTGGCTGTAAAATAGTTTCAGGAGATATCTGGGTTGCTGAGAAAAACCAAAGAGGATTGTGTCCTTATATTTGGACAGAATCAAAGATCGAGATTGAAAATGATCAACCGCAACCACAATTACCAAGGCCAAAATCTCCGAAAGTTGAAAAAATTAGCTTTCAATGTTTAATAGATAGTGAAAAATTGGAACTCAGATCAAGAAATGTAACAAATTGTATAGTTGATCCTACACTATTGGAACGAATAGATAAGTATTTTCCACAGGTTTCAGATGGCTCTGGTACATCATCGGATTTCATCATTTCAGTCATGTGTCCAGAAATCAGAGGAAAATTATTAATACCCATTGCTGATTTGAGGAAAGAGGAAAAATCTGTCCCCTCTGAGTTAAGACCTTTCTGGCTTGAATTCGAAGGATCTGATTTTAAATTCACAACAAACATGTCATGCTATGATATGGCTATGCACCAATTCATTCTCGGTTTAGCGGATCCTCACGGATCCAAGGAAATTGGTAGAATGACCACTGAAGGATCAACACCTATTCGATTGAGTATAAAACGCGGTGCTGATACTTCATCCATAATTGAATCTGAAATGATTCAAACTGTGTTGGAAACAGCTACCATGACAGAATCTATTTTTATATGCACCACTGCTAACACCAAACTCAATGCCCCCTTCCAAACTAGAACTCCAATCGTCCAACATAAACAAGAAGAAGACGCTAAAACCTTGCTCCCTAACAACCTCACTAACTCTCAATCCTACTTCGAAACTTGCAAATCTTTTACCCAATTGCAGGTTGATCTAAGCGCCGATAATGTCGACATTTTCGTTGAAACCAAAGAGCAGATAGACTTACTTTACAATGCTCTTGGAAATGATCTTGTTTTATGGACCCCAAATCGCGATCCAAATAGATGTCGAAAAGAGCGTCCAGTTGGTTGTAAGTATCAGAGCTACTTTTCATGCAAATCAGGGATGACTGATTCAATTGATTCTGAATCGTCCTTTCATTCAGTCGAAGGATCATCTGCCAATCAAAGCTTTCATAATTTGGTTACATGTTTACTTCGGTGTGATAATCTCAATGTTGCTATTGGTGACCATGCAATCATCAGCCAAAACGTCTTTATCGGTTTGTCCTTCGGATTACAAGATGATACCTCGAATATTGTTTCTATCCATGGGTCTGGAGTTTCCTGGTCCTTCAATAGCGATACAGTCATCTCAAGCAACCATTTCTGTAATAAATCAAGTTCACTTGACCTTACTTTTGAAATCAATACAAAGGATTTGCCCGTTTCCAAAAAGATCAAAGTTGCCATACAGTTATCTGAAGCGATCCTCTTCAAGACATCACCAGATATATTCATTGATTTCTGGAACTATGTTAACGTTACCAATGAACCAGTTCTTGGTTATACTCCTCCAAAGATTCTAACTGAGCTACACGTAAGTGTAACAAACGGAGCCATTTCTTATGGAAGTGATAACTTTCCACCTCCGCCTCGGCCTGTTCTTGTTACGTTTGATGGCATCTGTGTAACAGCTATGGTAGTCGAAGATACTAGTGACACATTAATGCGATTTATAATTGAAGAAGCCGCCTTCTATTTCAAAAAGAATAGTTTATCTTCAAAGTGCCTCAGAAATTATGTTTGTGTAATTGATTCTGGTCTAATCGACATGCATTTGAAATTAAGTGAAAACGACAAAATTGAGTTCAGAGCTGTGAACAATATTATTAATGTCCGAGCTTGTAATGATTCACTCGCAGCTTTGTGTCGATTAATCATTAATCTCATCAATCAAAACAGTGATTCAAGGAGTGATGACGATTTGCCAAGTTATGCTAAAGCTGTTGGCTCATCAATGCGAAAAGGCTCCAATGCCGAACTATTAAAAGAAGTTTTAAGTGAGCTTGGTAACGATCCGATGGCTCTTAATCAACAGAAGCCTCCAGAATATAAAGAAGCAGAAGAACGTAAGAAAGATGGAGAAAGCACTAAAAAGAAGGAAGGAGGCAAGAAAAAAGATGGAGGAAGGAAGAAGAGGGAAGAAGAGAAAAAGAAGGATGATGCACGAAAAAAGGATGCAGACAAGAAAAAAGAGAAAAAAGTGAAAGAAGAAGATAAACTCGAGAAGCTTGAAAGATACCAAGACAGAATCACGGCTACTGTTGATTATGATGGACCAAGTACAAGTTCAGCAACAGGTCTTAAAAAAGGAGAAATGACTGATTCTGGTTTTTGGTTACTGGGCGATGATGACATTGGAGCAGGAATCAAAGCTACTGATGAACCTATTGTTCGAGTATTGACTAAAGAAACTATCATCATGCTTGACAACACGCTAAGTGTTGGTACAAAGAAAACTGCATCTGAAGAGAAAAAATTTATTGTTGCTCGATATTGTCTAGAAGAGATGAGCTTATTAATAAGCATCTATGGTGGTCGAGATTTTGAAGATAACCATGGAGGTGAAGATGATTCGGATGCAGAAGAAGATGAGAAGAAAGTTGGATTGGATTCAGATTATCGGATTAAACGTGAGACTAAGGTTCACTTTGCTAATGATGAGTCTAATGCATTACATCTTTGGGAGAGTATCAATTTGGAAGAAGGCTCTGATATTGGCCAACCAACTTGTTCTAGACCTACAATTGGTAACCATAGTAGCAAATCAATGGGAGGAAGATTACGAAAAAGTAATATCTGTGTTCAACTTCATCTGTACAAAATTAAGTCAACCTTTGACAAATTTAATGACTCTTGTCCGACTTCATGGAAATTCTCATTTGATGTTAAAAACATAGAAATTCGTGATCGTCTAAATGTCTCTAATATCAATAAGATGTTATATGAATACATTTCAGAAAATATACCAAGAAGAAGCAATTCAAGCATGATTAGCATTCGCGCTAAAACATTTCGAAATCCAGTCGATTCTCATGAAGAATGTGATTTGAGAATAAGTCTTAAACCACTTCGAGTCAACATTGATCAAGATACAATCATGTTCCTTGTTGAATACTTTACAACTCTCAAGATTTTACTGGACCTTTACGAAAAAAGCACTTCTTTCTCATCTAGTGGATCAAACTCTCCGTCTCCTGTTGCCCCTTCTCCAGAAAGAGACTTTAATCTTTGTTTAAATGTGTACAATACAGTGGATGAAGCTGAATCTCCAATCTCTCCAGTCTCACCTGACGATGCAAACAGCTCTAAGCCTTCATCTCTTTTCGTCAAATCTTTTGAATTTACTCCTGCTGTGCCAATTCGCCTCGATTATCATGGTAAACGAATTGATTTCGAACAGGTTTGTTATTATCCAATTTTAGATTTAAGTCTTTCAATTTGATGATTTTTTCAAAACTCTAATTGCGATTCCATTTTTATTACATTTAGGGAACGATACCTGGTCTTCTCATGGGTCTTGCTCATCTTAATCAAAGCGAACTATATCTTAAGCGACTTCACCAGAAACGAGGTATTCTTGGTGTAGATCGAGTCATTCAATATGCATTAATGGAATGGTTTGATGATATAAAGAAAAAGCAAATTCCTTCAATTATCGGATCAATCGGACCAATGAACAGCGTTAGACAATTAGGTAATTTTTCAATAATTTAAAATTGATTACTCGTATTTATAAATGTTCACTTTGATACATAAATCAGTTACATTTCAATAGTTTAATTAATAAAGATGTCTTCATGCATTCAAGTGCATTGTAGCATCAAAAGCTGATCCATTTGCCATTATAAACATCTAAATTGTTACTTCTATAATTTATTTTCAATTTAAATTTCAATATCTTCATTATTTAATTATTCATCTCTTCTTTTACAGTTCAAGGAGTCATAGATTTATTCTGGATTCCTGTTGATCAATATCGTCGTGACAGAAGAATTGTTCGTGGAATTCAAAGAGGAGCTTCATCTTTTTCATCGTCAACAGCTACAGCTGTGCTAGATCTTGCCAATAGGTAATTACATTTGAATCAATATTAAATCTTGAATATAACTTTAATAGACAAAGGTCATTAATCTTAAATCTTATCTTCTAGACTTGTACATGTAATTCAAGGAACTGCTCAATTCGCTCACGATGTTGTTTTATCACCAAATCGATCTCCGCAACATAATACTCGAGGATCAGTACCTAAATCCCAGCCTCGAGATTTACGAGAAGGAGTTGCCTCTGCTTATACTGTTATGAAAGAGGGTTTGAATGAAACCTACCGAAATGTGGCAACTGCGGGTGCTCAAGCTGATGGTGTTACAGAGACTGTTGGTGCTTTGATAGGAACGCTTCCATCAAACATTCTACAGCCAATAATTAAAGCAACTGAAGCAACTTCCAATGTAATTGTCGGAATGAGAAACCAATTAACTCCTGAAGCGCGCAAAGATGACCAGTATAAATGGAAACGTAGATGAGAGTTATGCATTATAATCAAAATTACCATTTGGTAAAAGCAACTCAAATCTCCTGTGATTAGTTCCGAGCATTATTGTAATCTAAAAAGCATATTTTTGGAAAAGGTTGTCAAACTAGTTCCATATTCACTTCTTTTTGATTTTAAAACGAAATGTTTTAATTTCAACTTAATGATAAAAAAATGCCCAAAAAAATGATAAATCTTGGTGTAAAATCTGTAAAAAAAGTGTGATTAACACAAAATATAACCCTTCCGTAGAATCATTGAGACTTGGAAACTCACAACTACAATATTTACGCAATTGATAGTAATCTATTCCCTTTTTATCAACAAAAGCTCTTAATTATTGATTCATCAGTTTAATGTTCATTTAAATCAAAAAATGCGTACAACTTTGCATCACTTTTGTATTTTAATAATAATAAACGCCACAAAAAACAAATATTCATTTACTTATGAACACGATGCTTATTTTAATCAGCCCGAAACAAATACTTATTTGCAACAAAATTTTACTGATTGACAGTTGATTAATGGCAAAAATATGAGCATTCAAATTCTGAGAGTAAAGTCAACAATTTTCAATGCATTACAATTTGCGAAATTTAAGAAAATCAAAAAAGAATTGAATAAATTAAATAAATAACGTGATTTAAATGACAAGTTTATCCATAAAGGATAAAAAACACGGGCTTTAAACATCATAAATCTTAAAAAGAGTAGTTGAATTTGCTCAACTTTAATCGAGATTTAAGCATGAGTATTAATCAACTGATATCTCAGATTATTCACAGAATTCATCAATAATCCATGTAAGGTCAAGATGAACTTTAGAGTCAAGAAAGTAATCAAAATTAATAGATCAGACAATTGTGAGATGGAGTCTGATAGACAGAAAAGGCGTAAATAAGCCAAACTAGGAACTTACGCCGACTTACAAACTGTATGGAAATGAGGTAAACGGTGTTAGACGGAGATGAAGTCGTGAAAAGAGTCGGAGATAAATTTAGGACTAAAAATGTACAAATTATGAAAATTAGTATTTGATACAATATTTTAATTTTGTCAATTTATAGCAAATTCTGAATGATCCATCTTAAAACGTTTATGTAATATCATTAACTCTGCCTACATTGGGCAACGTTCATCTGATTATTTTGTTGCGAACAAGAAAATGTAACCAATAATGTTTTATTTTTTAGGTATTTCGAGGATTCTTCGAATTCAGAGAAAAATTATTGATTGAAGAGTGGCATAAGCTGGTCAGGACTTGAAGCTTCAAGTGGCATTCGTGTTACAATGAATGGGTTCAAGGGAAATGGATTATAATTATTTTCTTGGACCTGAAACAAAGCTTAAGATTTTTAAGATCGAAGGTGAATTGAACCAGAATAAGACCTTTACCAGGATTTGTCTTTGAATTTATTTGATTTTATTAGATCTGATTAAATGATGGACTTTGTTTTGCATTCAAAAATCCACTTTTCAGAAAATGATGAAATGTTTAAAATGATCACAATAATGGGATTTACCAACCAAGTGAATTTAATCGCAATTCAATTAATAGCTGAAAGTAATTTGTGATTTCTATTATTGCAACAACAAACCAAGAAAACTAGCGAATCCAGTTTAAGATGAACGTTTTCAATCATTCATTTATGCAAATTTCAATTCAAATTGTTCAATGAATACAACATTTTCACATGTCCAATTGTTCAACTTGATTTGTGATGAAAAAATATTCAATTTTCATGAAATACTCTTGCTATTTAAAACCTCAAGTCAATTTAATATTTCAGATAATAATACAAATCATGTAATTGGCTGTTAACTCAATCTACAAAGTAAGCACAAACCAATAATCATTGACTAAATTTGATTTTCTTGTAACAATTTGATGAAATTAAGCTTTTTAATTTCTCAAAATCTCTTCATCTTAACCAGTAAATCCTCCAATCCCAATTTCAATGTAAACCCAAAAAACCAAATAACCAGATAATTTGCAAATCTAAATACATCTTTAGACATTGAATCCAATTGATTTCAAGTCTTCAATTTATCAATGAAAGTGATGAAGAGACTTAGATTGAAAATGTTTGCATTAATCAATTGTAATTGTAATACAATCCACAAATTGTTCATCAATAACAATGATATCTGAAAATTAATAAACACCAAGAAAAGTGGATTAAAGGTGAAACCTGAAAAAATGGTTCAATTAAAAGTCTAATAGAGATTCATTCAAATTACAGGCAATTAGGGTCAATTAAAGATGAGATTAGGGCGATTAATGATTAAGATAAAATTAACTCTGACATGTTTTAATGAATCTTAAGTGGTAAAAGCCATTTAATTGGTAAAAATGGAGAGATTATTGAAAATGAAATGAAAAACTGTTTCCTTGTGAATTATTTGATCAAGATAACCTCTGATTCTGGTAACAATTAAACTGAACAATTGTTTTCTATCAATGTGTGTGAATTGAAGAACCTTCACAATTATGATTAGTTAATTGATAAGATTATTTTATCATTTAGTAAACCAACAAAAAATTGATTCAGTGCAACCATTTTCACTTGAACAGCTTTTGTTACCTTTTCAACTGTTAACCTTTTTCCTTCAATTTTTCATTGATTCCTCTAAATCTTTAAATTGTTTCAATCAGTTTTTCATTCAAATGTTCAATCAAATTGTCAATTTAATTGTTCATGAAATGGAAAGTCAAATTTCCGGATTCCTTTTGTTCTTTCCATTGATTACAATCGATTAATTGTAATTTATGTAATTTGTGTTTAATCTTAACAACTTTTCTCTCATTTTTTGCTCTCTCCTGACGTTAATTAATAATCAGATAATTAATACTCAAAATCAAGTCTAACATGAATTATGGAAACAATTGTAATTAGTTTACATTCAATCTTGATTAAATAAATAACGCCTTAATTGTGATTGTTTCAAACATTGATTTACCTTTTTTGCTCTTTTTGCCTTTTCTATTGGATTCACATTTTGATTGTAACAATTTAATTCTTGTAAATCAAATGTAAAGTTGGAATTGCTTTTGTTGTTTCACTTTAATTGCTCTCATTTGGTTACAATTGTGAACTTTGATCAAAAATGTTTACTTGAAAATTAAACTAATTGTTACTTTTTTGTCAATTAGAATGAGAAAAGCATGAAAAAATAATTAAAATTGTCTACAATTACCTGGTAATCATCATTAAAAATTAAGCTAATTTATCAGATTAAATAACTGAATATTGTTTAAATGGTTTTAATCGTTCAATTGGTTAAAGATAATTAACTTTATTCTCTTATTTTCATAGATTAATTGCTCGTATCTGATTGATTCAATTGTCAAGTTGAAATGAAATGTTGAATGAAACAAAACATTGTTTTGTCAAATGTCAATACATTTCTCATTTTCACAATCTAATTGCATTAGAATGGTAAAGACAATCAAAAGGCAAATACAATTAAAGTGGAAACCCAAAAATCAATATCCAAATTTACTTAGCTTATTGATTTTTGTGTATAGATTTCAATTAATTTCAACTTGATTTGTCTCTAAATTACAGACTTTTCATTTATCCATCTTTAACTGTTGGTTAACCTTGAGACGATAATTGATTTACTAATCAATTCAAGTGTTTATGATTTTTAATAAAATTAACCGATCATTGATGAAATGAAATGTAACAATTTTTGAGCTTCATTACAATTGTGATGAAGAAGAACAGAAAAATGATGCATTCGATGGGATTCGCTACTAGATGGCAGCATATAAATAATCAATTCTTGAAATTTTGATTCTCTTTTTTCTCTCTTTCTTTTTCTTTTCATTTGATGTCTTGACTGTTGTTTGAGCTTCAACTCGATGCAACTGACACAAAAATGTTTAAAGTTTTTAGTATTGAATAAAATGTGAGCATCTTTTGGAAAATATTAATTGATTATCAGTGAGGTGATAAAAAAGTTAATTTTGAAAATTGTTATTTGTTAAACTATCTAAGCTAAAGCTTTTAAGCACATGACACACAAGTGTATCTAGTATTTTACCTTTTTTTTGCAGCAATATTTTAAATAAACATCGCCCAACCGTTCTATCTTAATGTGGATATGTCTTTACCATCGTCCGGTGAGACGAAATATCAAAATTTAACTCCTGTACCACCAATACCTCCACCTCCTTCACTTTCATATAATCATCATCATCATCCACCGCCTGGTCATCATCCTCAACCAGTGCCGCCTCCTCATCATGCTGTCCCTCCACCACAGTCAGCTCAACACACTACGGGTCATCCCCATGGAGCTCCTCACGGTATTTATCACCCCGGACACCCACCATGGTCACATAACATGGCCTACCCATCGGGACACATACCACCTCACTCTACCGGACCTCCATCATCACATTCACCATTCATGTCCCAACAAGCACAACCACCATCCCAACAGTTACAACAAGCACCTCATCAACAAATTCAGCCACCTCAGTCGCCGCTATCGACATCTGCTCAATCTCCACACGGAATGTCTATTCAACCAATTCAACAAGGTCAACCATCAGGGCAGCCTAATGCGCCGCCATCATCTCATCCATTAGGTTTTATTCCCAATTCGGGAAACAGTGGGCCAGTGCCACCTTCACCTCATCAACAAATGCATGGTGCTTCCGTTGCATTATCTTCTCAGCAACCTCAACCAGGTGTACCTCAACAATCTCAAGGACAGCCAATTGGGCACCAAGTTGTCTCTGGTAGTGCTTCAATGACCAATTCCGAAAATACTCCTTCAAATGGAGAAAAAGTGACCAAAAAGAAGCGTAAACGGTGTGGTGATTGTCCAGGATGTTTAAAAAAGGATAATTGTGGTGAATGTGGACCATGTAAAAGTGTGAGAAGTCATCAAATTTGTAAAATGAGAAAATGTGACCAACTGAAGACAAAGAAAGAAAAAAGTAGAGAATCTAATGCTGCTGCAAACAACGGCGGCATTAGAGAAGGTAAACCTTTGAGTGTTCAAGACGGTGGATCCGCTAGTAGTGGATCGATAGATGGTGGTGGGCCTGGATCACGGCCAAATTCAGTTCCTGGACCAGGTTCGGTCAGTGGATCCGGCTCACGGCCAGGTTCATCTAGTATAAATGGTACAAGTGCATCTTCTCCTTTTCTTGTTAATCAGAATGATGGATCACAACATTACCCACCTGCACCTCTTCAACCAGGTTCTGGAGCAAACGGTGTTACTCCAGGACAAGCAGCTACAGCACCCAGAAGTTTCCCTGAATTTGGTCCCAAACATTGGCCACCAGTGAATCCAATGTTCAGTGAAAACAACCCTGTAGAAGGGGCATCGCCTTACAACAATTTCACCGGTCATCCAATCACATCAACCGGTCCTTTTAACGGTGAGACAATCGGTGGTATGGTTGTAGATGTGAAACCAAACTTTGAAGAAGGCCTTAACTCTGGTTCTGTAGGAGTTGTACCTCATTCGGCTCCTCCAGGATCTGGTGTTTCAGATAATAATAATCGACATCAACTTACCAATAATCGGTTAAAGTCTTTGATTCAAAATCGCCAGAGTAGTAAAGGTAGCTCTGGTAATAATGGATCTAATAATCGATCAACGGCCAATGTAGTTGGTGGACAACCACCAAATCAGCAAACTTATTCACCTCAACAACAACAACAACCCCAATCACAATCCTCTAATGATTCTACTTCTATTAGTTTTGTTTCAACCAATTATGTGAATCAAATGAATCACCAAGGACAAGGTAATAATTCTTATATGAGTCAGGTTAACAGTGCTGGCACTGGTTTACCTGGCCGTGTGCAAGCAACACCACCAACTACCAATTCTGATAATACTCCACCTTATGTCCAAATGACTTGGACAACAACTGATGCTCAACAACGTAACGGTGATGCTAGTAATACTGGTCATCCGCCAACTCCAACAACACCGTCCGCGGGTAGTGTTGATGTTAAGCCCGGTCGTCGAACACCATTTGCACCATTAGAAACCTCTAATGGTTTCTCCTTTGGTGCCAATTCATATTCTCAGTATGACCGTAATACTCCATCCGAATCTACTTACTCGACTGATAATTCACGTGGTCAACAGCAACAGCAGCAACAACAACAACAACAAACTTTACCACCTCCATCAACGCCGACAACGCAACAACAGCAGCAACAACAATCAAGGCCTGCTAGTAATGGGAATGGGCATCAATTTTTATCTCAATATGGTAACCAACAGTATTCACCGTTGCCCATGCTACAGCAACATTCTGATGGGTCAACCGAGATTCAATCAGCACCATTTACTAACCAGTCACATCCTAGTGCCACTTTACCCTCACCCGCTCGAAGTAAGACACCTTCGTCTGGCGGAGTAGGACTCGAGATGGCTAGTAGTACAAACGGTTCTTCAAGAGATCCTTTAACTATAAATAATAATGCTACCAATAGTAATAATAATATAAATAACAATAATATTAATAGTAATAATAATAACATTATTAGTAATAATAGTAACAATATTAATAACAATAATGGATCTGGAGCACCACCGGGTAGTAATAATGGTACCAGTCCAAATTCGCGAGACTCTTCCGGAAACAATAGAGGGATTGAAAATGACGAGAATGCCGCCTCAGCCGATCAATCAACACAGCCTTTTTTATCGAATACGACCACATCTATGAATACATATACAAATATTATCAGTACATATAACACTGGATCTTCCGTGACGGGATCAACAGTTTTCTACACCAACACTAACAACACTAGCAACAACAACAACAACAACAATAACAACACCGTTAGTTCCAATAATAACTCAAGCTCAACGCCAATGCCTTGTTCACCAATCGAAGGTAATCACACCAGTTATTTGATTATACCTTCATCCCAGCAACCAGTTTCAAGCTCAAACCAACAATTTGGATATTTTACCGGAGCTGGTGGCCATCAATCTGTGATAATGACGAATCCATCTGAAGTATCCGGCAACCTGGGACAGCAAACCGTCACATCAAGCGGAACATTGGGCAAATCTTCATTGACTTTAACATCTTCAGGAGTTGGTCACGATATGGGCATAGAATGTGGTCGTTTAAATGATGATATTTCATCAACCGGCTTTGGTGGTCTCCTTATGGACCTTAACCCTTACATTGTAAACAAAAGTGACCCTCCTTTCTTCTCTTCCTCTTCATCATTCATCTCATCAACCAATGAATCTCAACATGTTCAACATCACCTAAGTTACACAAACAGTTCACCAACAAATCACACCGTCTTACCGCCAGTGTCAACCTTTCTTATACCCAGTTTGCGAGACCACAGTTGGTGGGGAAGTGATCGTAGTATGATGATTAAACAAACCAATCCTTATGCAACTGATTTATTGCCAGTAAATAATTTAATGGAAACTGATCATCGACATCAGGATTTAAATTGTGAATCACTGGATTGTGGTGATGAAGAGAAAGGTGAACGTGAGTACTCTCGCAGTCCATCTACTTTGACATCGTTAACAACTGCATCCCTTACACATTGATAATGACAAGTTTTTGAACATAATTATATATATATATAAATATATAAATTGAAATTATAAATATATATATATTTGATTTGATTAAAGCAAAGAAACAAAAAAATAACTAAAATGGAAATGAGAGATTCCAGCGTTTTAATCACCGTTTCAATCTCCCATGTATGCATACAATCAACTTGATTTACGCAAAGCAAAAAAAAACAAAACCAAACACATTCATTTAAACGTGTACAACAATCATTGAATCGCATCCACATCCAAAACACACAAACACACATTCACTTCATCCAAAAATCAATTTGAATGTTTCATCCATAGAGAGATGTATTTGAAGCAACAGATTTTTTTATACATATATCTGCCACTCTATATAAAAAATTATTGATGATTTACATCATGTGAGCAAAGAAACAAAAAATCAAGACATTAAATGTTATTCAACAAAATAATTCAAGAAACTCCCTCCCTGTTGATTGAAAGTAATGCAAGCAACAAAACAAATCTACCAATGATGATAATGCTGATGATGATCTTCCTGCGAGTAACGGATTTATGCAACTTATATACAAAGTGTCTGCACCAACCCAAAGTTTCCAAATGTTTCATCTGATTCTCTCTCTATTTTCATCTCTTTGCCCATCTCTTCACCCCTTTTATTATGTTATTATTTGAATGTCTTTTGATTTGTCATAATTTTCATTCTCGCTCCTTGTCCCCTCTTTGCTTGATCACACACACAATTATACATATTATATCAATTGTTTTTATCCATTTTGTTTTTTTGTATCACCATAGAGTGCAAAAAGAGAGAAAAATGGAGGTCGTTCTCATTAATTGAACACAGCCATGTTTGTCCTTCTTTCTTCTCTCTTTTACTTACATCTCTATTCACTACCACCTCCTCCTCCTCCTCCTCCTCCTTATCTTCCTCCTTCTTCTTCTTAGTCTTTTCTTCTTCTTCTCTTTACCGATCATTGGATTACGCACTTTTTTGAGATACACACAAGACACAAGCAAAAACAGTAAGATTCAAGCAACTCTAACAAAAAATAATGCAAAATCTCGATCAAGATGGAGATTGCAATTTTTCGCATCTCTGAAGTTCTTCTTCTTCTTTCTTCTTTTCTTCAAACCAACCATGTGATGATGATGAAGATGCATCTACAATTTGAGTGCCACACAAAGTCCATCTCTTCTCTTCTTCTTCTTCTTCTCCTCTTTCTCTCATCTTTTTTTCTTTCTCTCACTCTTGGAAGGAAACAAATCAATTTTCATACTAGTAAATAAAAAAAAAGTCTTTTTATCATGACATGTCAAAGGTTATACGACAAAATAAATATCAATCTTTCAAAAGTTAAACTGTTAATACAATTTATTTTCATTTTTAATCTTAAAAAAAGAACCTACCAAAGTCTGAATTAAAAATGATTTCAAATTTAATTGAAAAAAATTCATTCCAACTCAATTCAATTTATTCCAATTCAATTCAGTTGAAAGCAATTCATTGCAATAAAATTCAATTTGAAAAATTGAATTTACCAACAAATAAAAACCAAGCCAATTCACCAATAAAAAGCAAACCAGAAAAGAGATCGAGAAAGAAGTCAAAAAAAACTCAACAAAAAAAAGTTAATAAATGCAACCCAAATGCAGTAAAAATGGCATTTTAAGTTTGACCAAAAGTCTGAATATTGGGTTAACCTTGAAAAAAATGATATGAAAAGGTAAACATGAAAGATTACATCTAATTAACAGGTTGAACAAGGTTGACATTGACACAATTAAATACACTTGTTTGGGTTAACCTGAAAAGAGAAGCGTTTAAATAGCTTGTTAGCCGATCGTCCAACGCCCTTACAAAAGCTTGTTGCCTTTCGCTTTTCCTTCTTCCTTCTTCATTCTCTTCCTACTTCCCTGTCTTCTCCTCACCTACTTTCCTCTTTATCTTCCCTCTTCTAGTTCCCTCATCTTCCCTCATCTTGCCTCATCTCTTTCCTCGTCTCATCATTTTTCTCCCTTCTGTAAACCGCAAAAAGCAAAGCAAAGCAACAACAACAAAAAAAAGCTGAAAACTTTCACCAACTTTACTCATCCTTTTACTCTACTTTCCTCTCTACTTTCCTCCCCTCTCTCACTACTCTCAATGAAAAAAAAGTATACTTGGTATGAATGAAACCGATGAATGAAGTGTGTGTGGTTGTAATGTGTGTGAGTTCCTTCAGAGAGCAACAACAACAACAACAAAAAAATGGTCAAGTTGTTGTAACTTCTCTTCTTTATCTTCTTAAGACAGACGCAAGGAGTTTCACCAGACAAGACAAGCAAATACTCCTTAACAGTTACCTATCTTGTTATCATGATTCATTGATGAAATGAGCATGGCAAAGGGATATTCCTCTTCATTTCATCATCAAGGTATTTTATGGCCTTGATTCCAAAAACTTACCTCTTTTCTTGTTCCTTTTTCTTGCTTTCCTCTTCCTTTGCCTTGGCCATTCAATGCCTCTTCCATTCACCTTACGTTTTTTGTTCAAGTGAACAACAGTTGTTTCATAATTTCTCTCTCATTTTATATATTCTTTACAATTGTTTGATTCTTACTTTTGGCAACATTTTCTTCACAGGAAATTGTACCTTGATAAAAGAGGATTGATGCAGGTGAAGTTACCTGAAGAGAGTGAGACAGTAAAGGTGAATAATACAAAACTGGAAAATACAGTTTACGCTCAATCAGTAAACGACTTTCTCACATCAGTTTTACATCAGTTAAGGTAGCAGCAGAAAGTAGATCAAAAAAAGGACAAAGACTTTTCTCTCTCTCTGTGTGTATTTACCTTAAAAATGGTTGACAAAAAAATGGTTTAACATGTAATTCTTGCGAGAAAAAAAGGCTTTTGTCCTCAAATCGTTCTATTTGATTCAAAATCACAAAAAAAGAGATAAATAATGATACTAAAGGAAAGGAAAAGAAATGATATGAGAAAATGAAAATGAAAATGAATAATGATATTGAGATTCACTTGAATAGAAAAGATAGATTTAGATTAAGAATAATCCTTTTAATCTAGTTTCCTGTTTTCAATCATTGAATTTCATGGAATAGCAAATGTCACTTTAAACACATTTGGAATCGATCGATTGCGACTTGAAAGGTGAAGCAAAACACAACGAAAGCAAAATGTTTGATCCTTTGGTCAACAAACTCAATCAAGTTAAACACGCAATTAGCTTTTCAATTTAATTTAACCTTGTTTACAAGGTCATTTTCAAATGCTGTTGCACTCAGATTTCAAGGGCGAATGTCCTTTTATTAATGCCTTTTCACCATCAATTGTTTAATTCAGGCTTCTCGGCTTGTTTCAATTTCAGGCAAATGATAATTTCCAATTTGACCAAGTTAAATATTGACAAAGATAATGAAGTTACAAAGCTTAATGTTGATCAAAATCAATGATCAATTTATCCTTCTTTAACTTGGCACAATTAACTATCAAATTGAATCAAATTGAAATGATTAATCTTCTTATCCATGATGAAGGAAATTGAGTAAAATAGATTTGAAAGAAAGTAAAATGTGGAAAATTTTTTCTCCGAAAAAAAAGAGATTTTTCTCAACATTATTTGTCTCTTCAACTGTTATTATAGTTATTATGATTAACCTTGGCTTTGGTAAATTGCAATGATCAAGGTGAGTTTATTAATGATGATTAAAGTGATTTTGTTGTTAAATTTGATTACTTGGAAACCATGTAATAGCGTTGATTGTTAAATGGTTAAATATTTACAATCTATTTTGATTAATAAACAAGTTGATTATTTGTCAATAGGCTCAGCCTTAAGGCCAAGTTAACTGGTTAAACCAAAAAGGTAATTGACATTCAAACAGTTTAATCTGCTTCGTAATGATTAAGCCCTTGAGCCTGACTAGGCGATAATTAATTTAATAATTTCTTAATCATTAATGTTTCATTTAAATTTAATTTCTTCTTCTTCTGCTTGCCTTTTAAAACCTTTTCATTGTTTCCCATTTTGTTTGACAATTAATTCAAGTTATTGCCTTTTCCCTTTGGAAGAACCATTTTGTTTAACATTAAAAGGTAAAGTGCATTGAAATTGGCATGAAATTGGCATTAAACATTACCAATAATGAATGAATTCACTGAATGAAGGTTTAGCATGAATAATGATAATAAAAAAGCATAATTGAATGTCTCACAATTAACCATAAACAAGGTAAATTTAAAGTAAATTGAAAAACACAATCAACCTTAACTCGACTAATAATGATTATTGTTTTCATTTTTTTCTCAATTTATTTCTTTCTCTTTTTGTTTTATCCATAATTGTTATGATAATGATAATACGATTTGATTATTAGCGCCAGTTTATAGTCATTTAGGTTATGGATCGAGTCTTAAAGAGATTGCAATCAATTTATCGCAAAGGTAAGTTGAACTATTTTGATGATTACTTTTAGTTCGATAATAATTGATGATCGTTTTCCAGATCTGGATTGAGTTTGGAGTCGATTAGACTTGAACGGTTGATTAAGTCAACTCGAGAAGGTCAATCTCGTGAAGGTTGTCCCATTGCCAAAATGATTATAATAAGACGATCTCAGACTGAACAATTGTGTGTTTTGGTTCGAGATCGAGTTGGCCACACTTGTCCAACTCGATTTATAATTGTTGCTCTTATTGTATGGGAAGGAGTCGAGGTAAACTGGGCAAGTCGACTGTACGATACTGTTGTCCACAAGTTGACCAACTATGCAACACCGACAGAGAGAAAATGCAGTTTAAACAAAAGTCGAACCTGTGCTTGTCAAGGGTTTGACCTATCACGATCAGGTGCTTGCTATTCATTTGGCTGTTCCTATTCAATGTACACTCATGGATGTAAATTTGGGAAAAGTCGAGAAAATGAGATTCGCCGATTCAAGTTGACCAACCAATCTGAGGTGAGTTTTGACCTGAATACTTAAACATTGTTACACTAACCAATTGATGAACATTTGATAATGAAAACTAAAAAAGAAATGTGAAATTACGATTTCCGGTTTAAATGATGAACTTGCCCTTCATCTTTACTTGAATATCAAGTTATTGAATCGGTCAGGCCACTTTGATAACCTTGTCAAACAAGTTATCATCATGACATGTTTCAATCTCACTCTCACCGGAAGTTTGTTTAAAGCTCCGGCTACACTTTTCAATGCTGATCGATCAACAACAAGAAATGATCAACAAAACAAAAAACGGAAATTGACCTTAAATTGTTTTAATCTAAAGGTAAACCCAAAGATGAACATATTAATCATACTCTCAATGAAACTTATTGTTTCACATCGCACATGTTGTCTTCAATTATCCTCCAAAAATAAGTTGTTTTCAAGAAGAAAAATGATTTTTTTCTTGTTTTTGGCCTTTCGAGATGATTAGATGAACCCAATTGTTGAGGCCAATTTGAGCTTTGCAATTTCAAGTAAACAATCAACTTGAATATTGTTTATTCCCTTTCTATTTCAAATCATTGGCGTGACTAAATGCATAGTTACTGATGATGATGATGATGATAAAAATGATTCTCATTGGAATGGATCATCGACATTTCCGCCATTTTGATTCCATAAATTGTTATTCAATTGTTGCTTGTGTTCAGCCGGAAATTTGGATCAACAATTATTTCCGTCATTTGATTATGAACCGGTAGTTAAAAGAAGAAACAAAATGATGAACAAAAGAATCAATTAATTGAAAATTATGGTCATAATCATGGTAATTAACTAAATGGACCTTAAATCACTTGACAATATTTTAAACCTTTTTTTGGTTCTGGTCTTTTTTTTGGGTTCGTATGTTGAGAGTTTCTTTGCCTTTCCTTGTTATCATTGGGTTTGTTCAAAGGCGATTGACTTTTTATTACATGTAATTAACATTGTTGCCTATCAGGTCGGAACAATTGCGTTTTTTCTGATTACTTTAAAACTTCATACTTAACAATTTTACCTGAGCCATATAGCAATAATCATAATAATAATGATAATCTTAATCATCTTAATAATACATTTAAGTGTGTTTCGCATAAAGGCAAACCATTTATAACCATAGAACCTAATATGACCTTTGATTGAACAGCAACAATATTATAACCAAATCAATGAGATGCTAAATTGCTTTGCTCAACCAAAACCTAAAATAAAACCAGATTGTTAACAATTCAGTCTTCATGTTCATTATCATGATAATAAACCTTTAGCTATAAACTTTTAGCTTAACCTTTTCATTACACATTTTTTTCTTGCTCCTTTTACCTTTCGATTATAACCTTTAGGTTCTAACCTCAACTCTTTTCTCCATTCAATTTTTCAATCTTTTTTCGCTTCTTAACCTTTCGATATAATCTCAGATTTACCTTATTCTCACCTTTTGCTTTTCAATCGAAAAACGTTATTTCTTTTTTTCTTAACAGCTTTCATTTTGACAGTTTAATTTCACGGTCAACGTCAAGAGACTATCAATGTTATCAATCAATAAGGTTTGCCATTTGTTTCGCTGTTTACCTCAAAGTTCAAGCTTCATCAGAGAAAAGTTTTCTCTGTTAGTCTCATTGGCTAATTACCTTTGTTTACCTGTTGTTCATGCAAGGTAAACATTTTACAAGTCTTGCCATTCAAAAACAAAGGTTAAAATCTGGCTTTCCAAAGGTGCTTCGCCTTGTTGTGTTAGTTTGTGTTTTTACCTTTTTTTGGCTGCTTTTCTCTCTGGTAAAAATTGCTATGAAATGTTGTGTTTATGCTTATTTGCTGTTATTGTTGAAAATAAATGATAAAATGATTTTATCAAATGCTGATTGGAAAAAGTTGTTTCTGTTTAACAAAGCAAACATATACATTATATTACATTGCACGATTCATAGCCTTGAATAATGAAAGGTTATATCTAATTCTGGTTCTCTATACAATTCACTTAAATATGAATTTTGTTGTTGTTAAGCTAAATCACGAACATTATTACATATTTATGTCCGTCTGAACATTTTTGTTACTTATTATCATCATTTTTGCTCAATCAATTTCATGTATTTACATTTTTCTTCTTCTTCTTTTTCATCTTCCCTTCAAATTGGCTTCAACAGATTTCAATTAATCCCAATTATGTACTTAACCACTTTGTTGCTCTTGTCCATTGCTTATAATTATTTATAATCAGCTTTAACGAGATTTACTAGTTTAATTAATTGCTTCATTTCATTTGATTTCCACCATTGTCAACCTTTTTTTAGGTTAACATTTTGATTTTTATTTCACTTTTTAATTCCACTTTAATATTTCAAATTTGGCTCCTTCTATTGTTTCAATTTACACCCCTTTCTGGTTTCCCCTTGGTTTCTCTCGTCTGTTACCGCCATTGTCGTTGACCTCTTGAGTATTACACTATTTCTGGTTTTGTTTGATTATTATCATTTTTTTTAATGGACAATTATTGTTAATATTTTATTGAATCGTGTTTTATTGTGTGTATATTACATGTGCACATTGCCATATTGTTTAATCTCGTTAATTTACATCACTATTACATGTTTCTCTGTGCAATTCTGCCAGCTACTCAACCTTGGTGTTATTTTTTTTGTTTGTTTGTTAGAGGAATCAAGGCAAAAGATGAAAGATTGAGAATGGCAAATTACCATTCTGTTTATCTGTAATCACACATTGTTGGTTATTCATTGAGTTAATCTTGGATTACTTGTAACTTTAGTCGCATTTTGAGCTCATCATAATTTCATCATTATATGTCATCTTTTACTTGCAATTTGGGTGATAAACGTTATTTGTGTTAGTGTGCTTCATTTATATTGATCATCAAGTGATTTTTACCTGTAATCTTTTTTACACTATGTTTTTATCCATGTTCCAATCTCTTGTCACCTGAAATCGAAAGCTCAATGATTGTCACGCTTTGTCAACCGTGTGACGGTCATAATCAGTCGACAACTATTCTTTTTCTCTCTTATTATGTGATATAAATTTTTGCTGATACGTTGTTGGGTGTTGTAAACTGTTTTGATTGCTTTCTCAAAAAGTGTTGATTCTTTTTTTTGACATTTTTTTCTCACGATCACCACGGTTGATGCGTCAACTGAGCTGTGTATGACGGACCTGACCTTGAATCAGCTGATTACGATTAATTAAGACAACCTGGTGACAGGTTCAGGGTTAACTAGTTAAACCACAACTTGCTGATTTATTATGATTTCAACTTGTGTTGTCTAGTTGAGAAAAGCGCCAAAATTGGGTTTCATTTGAAGATCAAGAAATTTGAATACATACGAGCACAAAATGATTATCTTAATCTAAATATCGATTAACTGGACAAGTATTTTACTGATTTGGAATTCAAGTAACAAAATCAATTTCGTGCTGGTTATGGCTATAGATAATATGGATAAATAAGCTGCCATTTCATAGCTGGCAATAACTCAGTTCAACGTTACAAGCGACAATTGAGGTTTGAATTGGTCTTGGATTTTACCATCGAGAATCGTGGTGAATAAACTGAAAGTACTGATTATTGGTTTAGCTGATTGGTTGGATAGGAACAAAGAAGTCGAATTAATGGAGAGAAGAATGAAATTTAAAGTTAATTGGATTGATTCTGCTGCTGATGCTTTGTTTCCAGTGTTTTACAAGTTAGTGTTAAACACGAAAACAAAAAGTTGGATCAGGAGAATTGGAAGAAAACCAGGAAAAATGATAAAGAGAGAAATTAAAAGAAGAGAAATACAATTCTTAGTCGATATTTGCTGTTTAACTTGAATTGCAATTTGAATAATCGGCACAAGTAACATTATGGTTTTCTTGCTAAGGTTAACAAGTTGACAATCAAGTACAATACACTTTTTGGTACCGGCTCAATGAACCAATTATTAGCTGATTGGTCGGTTAATTCCTTAATTTGGTTCATCTACTTGCTGATTGAAAGGCAAAAGTTTCTTGTCTTTCATTAGTACATGATTCCCATCATCACTCAAGCTGAATACAAATGATTCTTGCAAATCTATTCTTAATTGTCATTTTTAAATCATGGAGCAAAAACAGCTACTTTGCCTGATCATTATAATAATCACTATCATCTTAATTGCGATCACAATTAAGTTAAATGGAGATTCTTTAATTTTAGAGTTGCTACTTTTATCGTCACTCTTCTTGTCATTATCAACATCAACTCAAAGTTAAATTTTTCAATTAACCAACCAACAACATGATTTTACAAGCTATTAAAAAAGATGAACACAAAAAATGCGTCAACTTTCAACTCTAACAGTAGAACAATCTTCTCAATTAACTTCAATCAATGATGATCAAAGCAAAAGACAACTAGACACATCAATCCACATAAAAGTCAGATTTTTATGAATTGACCGTAATTCAGTGTTCAATTTTCATTCAATTGTCTTCACATTCAATGGTTAACTTCAACCTCAATCACCAATTTAAAGGAATCATCTTCACAATCATCTTCACCGACAAGAACATGAAAGAAAAAAGAGAGAGACGAGAAAAAAACAATCAACCGTCATCATTTTCATCTCAATATATATTTATAAGGCTGTTATTTCCGTTTTATGGTCATTACAAGTAGCTTTTTGAAATGACCATTTCCGTTTGAGATGATAGTCTGTCTTCTCTGTGAATTGGGCGAAAGTAAAAAGAAAGAGAAGGTGAATAAGTATGGAAAAGATGAAAATGTCGGAAAACTGGTTAACCTTGATTTGACCTTGTCTTTGCGTCGACTTGATTACTTTAAACTCTTGTAAGTAGTTGTTACCTCTGCAAGGTTTATTAAGGTCTTTTATCTTTCCTTCATCATCCTTCCATCTTCTTTCCACTTTCATCATCAGTTTTATTAAGATTACTATTTTATTCCTTTGAGGATTTTCTTTTCATTTCATTTATATTCAATTGATTGTTTTTCTTTCCAATGATTCATCATCATCATTTTGATTGCAACCTATTTTGCCTGTTTACTTTAAAAGGATATAAACAAGAATGGTCTCGTGATGTGCATTCAATCCTGAATTTTGGTGATTCTATGGATCCTTCAAAGATAATCACTGATTAACTTATCCTCCAACTTGCTCAATGAGTCATTCAACTTTGAAATCTGAGTATTTTGGTGAACATTTGGTGAACAATTGACTCTGTCAAATATGTAAATACCAAGTAAATGAGATGAAAAAACAAGAAAAGAGTTTCCAGATGATGTCGAAGTAAAAGTTGCTGATTAATATTTTTTTAAATGTGCAAACCGTTAACCGATTCAGGACTCGATGTTGATGTTTAATGAAAAAAGATTGCCAATGAAAATGATACATGAAGTCGAAACCATATTCAGCCCGAGAAACACAAATACAGTTTAAGCAAAGAGACAACTGAAAAGGCCGAAAAAAGTTTATAATCTGTTGAGTAAAGACCAATCCTTATTCAGTAAATCTCTGTGCAAACAGAATGCTGGTTATCTCAAATTATTTGCAAATTTACCTTTCCTTTTATTCGCACATAAATATTGTCAGATATTGGAAGAAGAGCGCAAAAAAGTTGACAGAAAGCAAAAATGGTAAAAAAGTACCAAAAATGACAGTTTTTCATTTCTTTTATCATAATCATCACCATTGCCAGTTTAAAAACATTTGGCGATTTACCTTTTTTATTACACAAGAAGAAACAGCGACAAGTAAAGGAAAAGGAAATTTGAAAATGGAGATGAAATTTGATGAAGCATTCTAATTAAAGGAATGAACCTGAATAGATGATTTATTGAAAATGAAATAGATGAAGGAAACAAAAGGTGAATAAAATTTGCCCCAATGTTTTGATTCTAATGTCTATTGAATGAGAACATTTTGGTGACAAGTTTAAGAAAAGCAAAAGACTTTATCAAAGTAAGATGAATATTATTGTTAGTAGTTAGCAGCCGGCAACTCGTAATCACATACTATTAATCATATGTGCCAAAGTGCTCAAATGGTAAGGACAGATGTCAAAAGTAACTTGCATTTCCGTTTTACTATAAACACATTAAACTTATTTTCGGTTCAATATTATTTCTCCTTTTTTCATCCTCATCTTCATCTTCATCTTAAACTGATTTGTATGCAAAAGAAGAAGAAGAAGAAAGAAGAAGAAGAAGATTGTATTTGTTTAATATAAAAACGTTAACCGTTATTTTCATCATTTCCTTCATCTCTTTGCATCTTGATCCATTTAACCCAATCGATGAGCTCTTAATCGATTTAATATCGATTATTACTCTTATTATTTTCATTATTACCAGAAAAAAAGAGAGACAGAGAGAGAAAGAAACTGTACTTGACAAAGAAAATAAATTAACCCAAACGCCATTTTGATTCTGAAGCTAAAATAATCAAAGCAGAATAGGTTTTGTGTTATTCGATGCGAATCCAAATCTTTACAATTCTATCCATTATACTCTGTATGTAGATTAGCCTGATGATTATAATAATGTTAATGATAACCAGAAATACAAACTTTGCTTCTCTTGTTTTTTTGGGTTAACTTTTTTTTCTTCAACTGTACTTTTTCGTCCTGTTATTGTAATCAAATGGACTGGCTAATTAACCCTTAAAAATGGGTGCAAAAAAAGGTCAACAACAAAGACTATGTTTTTTTTCTGGTCTCTCATTGGTCTTGCTTGCTGTGTCTGTGTGTATGTGTAAAGGTCAAGATAAATATCGTTGGTTGACCTGAAATGACCTTCGGTCAGCTGGATAAGCCTTATTTGTATGCCTTGAGTCTCACTCTTATAAAAATAATGTTAAACTTACATCGTCCATATGTTAAGAAAGTTGAAGTTGATGTGAACTGCGATTATTTTGAAAGCTAAAAAGTAACTTGGCAAGACCAAAGTAAAAGGGCAGAGAAAAAAAACGAGCAAACTTTTTTTCGCCATCATTTTTAAAGGCAAAAACGGAAACATTGAGACTCACAATATTATATTTTGTTATTTGGTCTTTTGGCTTTTTTTCTTGCTTTGCTTTTCTCACTCACAAACATTGTAATTTATCTTATTCCAGTCTAGTTTATTTATTTATTTATTGGCCCATTTTAGATTGAAAATTGCAATTATTTTAATTCTACCCTCAATTAGATGTGATTAGGATTTTTGTGTTGTTTATCAACAGGCAACATAAAAAAAGTTAATGTGTTTATGATTCACAAATTAATATGATCAATGTTAATGCAAACATCAGTTCAAGTTCAACAAATGATAAATTTTGCTGTTTGTCTATTCAAGTAAATTGTGTGCTATTAATTGTGATGATTAAAAATGAGTGTACAAACAAGACTGAAAAGTTATATAATAATAAAAATGAAAATGTCAAGGAAAAGATGAAAATAATTTAACGTGAAAAGGGCTCTTTGTCAAGCAATTTTGATGGGCAAAGAGCGACTCTGTTAGGTTGTAATGTAAGTGTTGGTGCCGATCAAACCTGGTTAAACCGATGAAATTGATAGCAATTGTTGCGTGAAAAGGCAAACTCTGGTCTCATCTTGATGGGACAAGGGTTACTTTTGTTAGGTTTAAAGGTTCATGTCTTTCGGCTTGATCTAGAGCCATTTAAATAATGAAAATGACGATGAAAATAATGATGAAAATGATGATGAATAGGAAGATGAAAATGTACCAGAAATGAGTGGGATGAAAAAGGGAGGACATTTTTCTCGAAACAGTGAGACAGTGTGTGTTTGTCTCATTACGAATTGCAAGTGCAATTTGAGTCGTTGAAGATGCACAAGACGATGAAGATGATGGAAGATGTTGCTTGCAAAGAGGAAGATGAAAGTTATTTTGGTATTTATTTTTTAGACGTAAAATTTGTTGGCTCAAAAAAGGTCGTTGGCATCACAATGAATCTACACACATAGTCAAGTAGACAAGTTAAGCCCTTGATAAAAGTCAACTTTTCAACTGGGCAACAACTGGTAAACTCAAAAATAAACAACAATTAATCACAATTAATGCAATCTGATTACCTTGATTCTAATAACCTTTTTTTCCCCATCTCATCTCGATTCATATTAGACTTTAAAACATCCAATGGAAGCAACAAAAAAAGCTTATATTGAATAATTGAACAAACCAAATTGACACGTTACTTCCGTTTGGTACAAAATAATGCTTTTCACTTTTCAATGGAAAAGCGTTTAGTGTAACGATAAATACCTTTTGTTGGATTGCCTTGCAAATGTTATCAAATGATGTTTCCTTTGCAATATTTATAGACATTTGAATATGGTAAAGGATGAAATGTAATGAAAATCAATGGCCAAGTTTAAAGGTTATTGTCTGTCGGCTCGTAACAATATTGGGCGATTATCATCACTGAGAAGGAAATTGTTGATCATTTTGATGACATTGTTTAACTTCCTTTCAAGCTTTAATTATTTAGACAGAGAAAAGTCGAAAGTGGAACAAAATATTTGGTCAATTAAATTATAATTTCATTTAATTTAATAAATAATAGTTAATAATAATGAGAAGCCAAAATGGTTGGCAGAAAAGGCAAAAGTCAACTTTTTAGCTTTTCGCTTCACTTTTTACTCTCACTAGCCTTTCCCATTAACTTCTGAACCAGATTATTTTGTCATATATTGCCTTTTATTTAAGGTTATTTACAGGATTAAATAAATGTAATGCACAGATTGTGATCGTCAACATAAATAAGATGCTTTAAATCAACATTAAACACGGTAAACCGAGCAAATAAAAGAGTAACAAAACAAAACAATCAATTGATCAATGTTCAACTGATATTTGCTCAAAATTCATTATTGATTTTCAACTTTTTTTTTCATTCAATTACTTCATTTCACTGTTATTAAAGTAAAAGTGAAATTTGGTAAAAATTGAAAAAGAAAGGCAAAGAAGATAAATAAGCAAAAGATGCAAATATTGCATATTTTATGTTGGATGATATTGAATGTAAAGAAGAAGAAGAAGAAGAAATGTTGAATGAAATGCTGAAATCAATTGCTAAACAGCATATTGGACAAATCGATTGATGTTTGCAGTTGAGTTGCTTTTTGCAAAACCTTATTGATTGTATATAATAATATATTTTTTTTACTTTATTTTACTTTTCGCTCTTTCATGTTGTTGATGTTATTACAAAAGAATCATCAAGCTTATTCTCTCTCACTGCCATTAGAAGGGAAAGTTAACCAGATTAATATAAGAACCATTGGATGATAATAAATGGTTAACATAACTTGCATTGACAGCGTTATAATTGGGAAAAAGGAAGCAAAAAGCAAAGAGAGAGAAGAAAAAAAATGATGAAGAAAACTTCAGAAGGATCAGGGAGTTGATAAATCGTTTATAATGAAATATTATCAATACAAGTTATCATTATCAAAATGCATATAAACTTTTTTTACGTTTTTTTCTGTTCTTATCTGATTTGCACAAATTGTTTTTTCAGCTTTTTTACTGCATTGATAATGATAACAATTAATAACTTTTTTCACTTGCAATTGCTAATTAAGATTGATTCATTCCCATAATCGAATTTTGGATTCGAGAAGTTATCTGATTTGAGATTTGATGGAGATTCGTTTGAAAAGAATGCGATTTTTGAATGAAACTTTTGTTGTTGAGATTCATGTTTAATTGGTAAAAGACTTTGAAGTTCATGGTTTGGTCATCAGATCTTGAATAATCTAATTTGCATCATTTAGTTAATTTGATTTACAGTGGAAATGGATTTGAGTTGTATTGAGTTGAATGATTGTTTCTCATCATTATCGCATGAAATTGGTTGAAGCTTGTGATGCATTTCATTTTGTTAAATCTTGTTATAAATTGGACCAAATTTTCATTCAAAATTAAATGATTTTGCAAATAATTTCAATCAAATTTTATTGCTGCTTCTTCTTGCAAAACCAAACTTGACATTTCACTTTAACTTCATTTTTGTTCAAGCTTTACAAGTTTGTACATTGTGCTTAAACAGCAATTTGCGATGAAATAGACGATCAACAAAATAGCGGTTTTCAAATGGTTTAAACTGCTCAAGGGGGAGATGAAATGCTGTTGAAATGAAGCTTATAAGTTGTAATAATTCTTGAATATTTTTCATGCAAAAAAAATATTTTCACATGATAGCACAAAATTGTCTGCATGATTCACAATTTCTGCATAACTTGAAACTCATGAATGCTCTGAAAAGTATTAATATCATTATGCAATTTAGAAATGTATAAATGTGCATTTTGTTTCAAATTTAATCTTAATTGCAATGTTATACTCCTATTGATATATCACTTGATTCACGGATTAGTCGATTTATAGCATTAAAGTTCAATTTAAACGATCATTTTGATCCATCAATTTCTTTGAAAACCTGAAAACAGCAATTACAATTGCACATGCAATCAAGTCTGAAACATGAAAAATAGAAAAGTTAGTTCTTTTACGAAAATCAAATGCAAATCGAAATTTTCCTTTTCGCAAAATATTCCATAAACTCTGAACTTGTGCCAACAAAACTTTGAAATTGTAAGTTTCATGAGCTAACATTTCGTTCTATCTGTCCATTGATGTTATTCAAAACGCTGACCGAACTGCTGGATCAATCAGAACAAAATGCTTTTCATATTTACTTTCAACTTGAAAAAGTTTTGTCTTTTTTCTCATTCAATTTACCAAATAAAATGAAGCTTAATTGCTCTTCTCGAAGTGAATGATTCTAATGAAAAGTTGCTCTTGAAACTAGACAAATCATGAAGACTCGATTTTCCCTGATCAATTAACAGATAATCCATGATAATCTTGTCTACCCTTTGATTGGCATAATTAATTAGATTAGTGCAGTTGATAAGAATTGATTTTTATTGATTTACCTTTCTTTACTCGAAAAGTGGCTTCTTTCTGATAGAAAGCCATTTTTTGATATTTCAATTGAAACTTTAATGATGTTTGAAATTATTGATGAATTAAATTTTACGAGATTAACAATTTCTAAATTGAATTAAAAGATTAAATTTGCTTTTAAACTGATTAATATAAATGAAAGTTAAACATTAATTGCCATCTATAAACTTAAATCACTAAAGGTTAATCAGTAAACTTTTCACATTTGCCTGCCTTCATTTACCTTTCACTCTAATCGGGGAAAATGCAATATTAAATGATTAATAATATAATCTGGAGCCAAAAATTATTGTAATTTGTTAATTTCACTTTACACTCATTTAAAATTTAATATCATACAAGGTTCATGATCATCTTTGCAAGTGTATCTTTGCATTGCTTTTTTTTACGATTAAAAAATTGTTGATCTATTTCTTGTGCTTGAGCTTTTCATTATATTTTTTTGTGTGTTATTTTCACTGCTATTATGATAAAGATGATAATGATGTTTGAAATGCAGTTAATGATGATGAAATGAGAGTCATGATCACTTAGTTGTGACAACAGGGAATCAACAATCAACAAAACAAAGTCACACAACACATTGAGAATAATATGAAAAGCCGAAAAA